TTTGCCCACACCGAAGCAGTGACAACCAGTTGAACGTAAAACCCCTCAGTAAAATCACAAATAGCCAACAAATACTGGGGTTATTTGCGACGTCAGTAAAGCATTGTTCTTCAACAAGTGTGCTGCGGCCCCGTGGTGGGCCGCGGAAAAAAAGTCCAAGTTGGCAGCCAAACATTTCTGCATAATGAGGTCGAAGGGTACAACCGGTACTTTTTGTCCTTCTAGGATTGAAGTCTGTAGGATTGAACGTCAAGGATGAGAATCAAACAGGTACTATACCGGAAAACTCCTTTCAACCTGATAAAACAGTGATATTAGTGCTCCCACGTAACTGTTAAGATGAAGACAGGCATGCTTCATGCAGAGTGGCAAGCATTACTTCAGAGGTTCCGGGTAGCTAGCATCCTTTGGATATTTTCTCCAGGTCATGCCGGTGTGTTGGGAAATGAGCAGGTAGATAGACTGGTCGGCGCTGCACCACTTGATGGTGAATTATGTACGTCAAACTAGATATTATGAGGGCCATTTAGGAACGAGTGAACAGTGCGGATGCGCAGATAGCCATTACGGTCTGAGGAGAATGGCTCTGCGAGGAGTTAACAAGGGATGTGGCCGACGCTCAACACCCAAGGGAAGGATGAGACGGATATACAATCAGACGACTACTGGTGCCATCGGAATTAAAACTCTTCGTTTGCTGTTAAAGATAGGGACGGATCACTTAAGGGAGTGTCCAGAGTGCTGTGATGTCGATTCTTATTTCAATAATATTAAACACCCGACGATTACATAACGTGTAGTCTAGTCTTGGCGGAGAATATGGCTTAAAACTCATGTAGCGGCCAAATAATTTCACAACAAACATAATGTGGCAAGGTGCGCGACACTTGATGGCAGGAATTTTAGGTGAGGCTTTCGCCTGACTCCACGTCATAGAATCTTTATTTTGTTGCATTTATCCTTACTGCTTTTTAATATTGCGGTGCATGTTTTCACACACACACACACACACACACACACACACACACACACACACACACACACACACACACACACACACACACACACACACCACACACACACACACACACACACACACACACACACACACCACACACACACACACACACACACACACCACACACACACACACACACACACACACACACACACACACACACACACACGCACGCACGCACGCACGCACGCACGCACGCACGCACGCCACGCACGCACGCACGCACGCACGCACGCACGCACGCACGCACGCACGCACGCACGCACGCACGCACGCACGCACGCACGCACGCACGCACGCACGCACGCGCGCACGCACGCACGCACGCACGCACGCACGCACGCACGCACACACACACACACACACACATCTAGAAAGTTCTCTGTTTTGTAAAATTTCAAACGGCGAAAAAAAGGTCAGCATGGATAACAGTTTAACCTTCGTTTGTAGAGTCAATGATAGTGTTAAGGAGAACAGTGAAATTGCTGAATTAAACATGACAAGGCAAGTACTAGTGTTTTACATTTAGATGAAACAAAGACAAAAATATATTTTGATGGTTAGAAATGTTCAACACAGATCAAACATGAAAAAGTAAATCTTGTTAGGTATTTTAACGAGAACGTTTTTCAACTTGGTTGCACTGTAGCTCCTTGCAGTAAACTTCCTCCACGGCCAATGTGTGTAGCCTATTCAGAAAATCTGCCACATGAGGCTTTAAAGTCTTTCAAACTTGCTCAAAGCTTTTCAAAGCACCGGGCTCCCCACCCACCCCCTCCCCCACCCCCAACCCTCTTAAAGATTACGTGACCAAATGAAAAGGTAGCGAAGTAAAATTCATGACGAATAATGACACGTCTCTGCTTCGAGCATTTTCACCTTGTTGCTCTCTAAATAGTTGAAATGAACAACCCGCCCGACCCCCATCTCCGTATTTTGTTCGTTAACTGTTTGGTACAACTAAAGCACATAGCTACAGTTTTCCACTGACCTAAATACTACTCTATGTATAGTTAAGCACATCATTGATACAGAACATCTCGAGCTTTTCAAATGTCACAGAAATCTTCTTAGATTGTCACGGATCAAGGGGTAAACTGGACAAGAAATATTTACCATCTATAAAAGGCCACCATCGGCTGCGGTTGGTTTACTATACCATGTAAAGGATGTAGTCAGGGTTTTCTTTTTCTTGTAAAAAGGTGCCGGTACTCACCATCAAGTAATAAAAAGTGCTGGTACTCGCCACAAAATGACTTTTACAGTAGCGTTGACAAAAAATGTTAATGAACGAACGAATATTATTTTAATGCTTAAAAAAGAGATGCCGGTACTTTGCACGATTAGGTGCCCCCCCCCCCCCCACAAAAGAAAACACACAAAAGAAACTCGCACACACACACACACACACACGCACACACTGGATATAATCATGTATAAAATAAACATAAAAAAAAAAAGATTACAAAATGAGCTGGAAGCAAATAATTGGGACCGAGTGTTTATGGCGACAACATCAATATAATCTCTGTCCCAAAGTGGGACGAATTTTTTTATTTTTTTTTTATTTTGAAGCCCCATCTTGGTTTTTGCCTGGGCACTAATATAATCTAACAGTTGTTCGGGATTTCTGTGAGCTCTCCAGGGGTGATCCTCATTCAAGTGGTGGCAATTTGTGTCACCGGGTGTTTTATCGCTCGGTGTGATGTCCTGGTGAAGTAAAAAGTCAGTCAGTAAGGCGAGAGGCGAGACTCATGGTGAATAGCTTTTCCCCAAATGTTTTCTTTAAAAAAAAAAAAAAAAAACTCATCACGAAGTGTTGAAAAAAAAAAATGTACTCAACCAAGGTGTCTGTTACAGCAGAACTGGAAAAAAAAAGATGCTTAAAAATATAAGGCAATGTTTATCGTTGAGCACGGCCAGAAACAGAAAAAAGAGAGCCCATGTTTTATTATACAGTTTCATTTCACAGCTAACATTGTTTATTGTTTATTTAAAGATCATCTTCCTGACATATCGGATATCCGATCTCCTTCAAAGTATGTCTCTAAATGTCCTTAGGCTAACAACTCCTATTCTGTTCTGGTCGGTTCTCTTATGGCACTGTTGATGTCTCTTCTGTCCATAGATGGCTCATTCTTGACAGTTGCACTGCCACCCGGGCAGTCTGGTCTCTCACTGCCTTTCACACCAGTAAATCCTGGGACAAAGTGATTTTTAGAATCGCTACGTGCTGTATTAGATGAATCCACTGTTTCCGCGTATACCCTGCTTGGTCTTCTATAGCGTGCTCATCGAGTCGCTGAGCAAACTTGGGCCGGCCCAATTCTAAGTTTTCAGCCATTCTAGGGCCTTTGTCACAGCCATGACTTCCATCAGAATCAACCATCCTGAATGCATTTTTAATAGATAAAAACTAGACCAGTACAGATACCACACACACACACACATACACACACACACACACACACCTACACACACACACATCTACATACATACATTTTCTCAAATGCAAATCCATATAAAATATAAATAAATATGGAAATGTTCGTTTGTTCAAGATCGTTAATTTCTGAAAGTTCTTCACCGAATGCTTTTATATTTTGAAACAACTTTGCATTCGAATGGGCGCCTGATTTTATATAAAAATGCCACACAAAGTACGAACTGCTTAGCTTCAACAACGATCACATTGGCACCTTGATTTTTTTTCGTTGCCGCTTTCTCGGCGCTTGTGTTTATTTCCACTGGTAGGCAAACTTTGACTGTTGACATCAGAAATCTGCTTGAAGTTGTATGAGATAATCAATTATTTCTTTCTGGGGACAAAGAGTTGTTGAAATACTATTTGGAAATGTAAATACCTGGGAATAAAATCAAGTTGGAATTAAAAGTTGCTGGATTAAGAAGAGTTTTTGAAAGACTGTATAGGGATGATAAGAAATGGGAATGAAAGATTAGTGAGGACTATCATTACCGCATTCTGGACAGATTCGTAGTTTTTCAGATCTTTTCCTTGGTAGCTCCGCAAGCGCAAAACCAACTAATGACGCTCAATCTGTTGTAATTATTCTGATGATTCTTTCCCTTGATGAAATATTGTCAGGCTCCCAAAGCATGTTGAGAAAGGTGAAAACAGGCATGCTTCGTGCAGAGTGGCAAACATCACTTCAGGGGTCCAGGGTAGTTAGCATCCTTTGTATATTTTCTCCAGATTATGCCGGTGTGTTAGCAACTGGCTGCCTCTTCACCAGTGAATTGAGGAATGAGAAGTTAGATATTATGAGGGCCATTTAGGAACGGGTGAACAGTGCGGAGGCGCAGATAGATCATTACGGTCTGAGGAGAATGGCGCTGCGAGTAGCTACCAGGGGATCTAGCCGACGCGGAACACTCAGGTAAAGTGTGAGACGGGTATACAATCAGACGGTTACTGGTACAATCGGAATTGGAACTCTTCGCTTGCTATTAAAGATGGGGACTGTACACTTAAGGCAGTGCATCACATTTATTCTCATTTTTCTAAAAGTTGTTTGTTATTTAGAAGTACAGTAGTTAGCTTTGCCTTCAGCTCTTTAAAAAAGTACAAAAAGCTTCAAATTGTGATAAACAACTAATCATTTATTTTAAAGTATTAATAATACAATTAAAACGACCACTAAAATTAAGACACAATTATATGTTGCGTGTTCTAGAGTCGGCATACCAAACTATCTCTATATCTGCGGAGACGATAGTTGTGAAATTAACCATATTATACACATGCGCTTTCTATTTTCTTTCTTTTTCCATTTAGCATCAACGCGTAGCCGGGTACATGTAGTAAATTATAAAAACGGTATAAACTGCAACTAGAATCAGCGTTGGCATATAAATCGATAAGTTATTGTAACGATTGTTGAATAAATATTATATTTTTCTCCAGGCCTTACTAACTGAAGTATTTTATCTGTGAAGTGCCGCTTCCTCCAGAGAATCAACAATGCTACAGAAGATGCCTGCAGCAAATCGTCAGTTCTTTATTGGTCTGGCAGTGGGTCACATATCAGCCTTTGTTCTAATCAGTTTTAACGTGCTTGCCTACATCCCCGTGCACTTTTCAGTACTCCAGTCGTACTATGAAGATATTTATAACAAGACAGATTTCACGTCTTATGACGATACAGCTAAAATGTCCAATAATCAAGTACTGTTGGTGAACGATGTACACATGCACAATGGTAAAACGTGTGTTGGTATCTGCCAGTATTGTTATGTGGAATGGAAGTTGTTATAAATGTGTCGTCAGTGTTGTTCTGTGGAGTAGTTGTTATAAATGTGTCGTCAGTGTTGATCTGTGGAGTAGTTGTTATAAATGTATCGTTGGTGTTTGTGACGTGACGCGTGGTTTAAATGTTTATGTTGTTGAGTAGGGATCTTCCTTTCAACACATTCTCTCCACTAGATAAACCGAACTAAAATCTGAGCTATGTTGCTATCAGACAAAGTCCTGGATATCAAAGAAAACAGCCATATTGGCTCGTTAAGTATATTAACATTAGCTGAACTTGGTACCCACAAGAGAAGGCAAGGAATTTTAGATGTCTATCATACTAAATGAATTATTAGACAGGGCACGTGATTCCTTCGTCATCTACCTTCTCCCGGTGTTATTATTAATAATTAAAGAATTATTATCATATTATTTGAGCCCCACCAATGTACTTCTATCTATCAGTTTAGAAAACAGGTAAGATTGAATACACTTGGAATTTAACAAACGATGTAGTATAAAACTTGACGTACAGCTTTATTTTCTAACAATCAGTTAATTGACATACCCAGTTTGTTGTGTTTACACAAACAGTGACTAGCTAAAGTTATGATAGTAATGGGTTGTTTCAGCGCGAGAACAGCACCTGGGATTAGAGTGGTGTGATGAAGGTGATAAAGTATGAACAATTTATGAACATAACTTTCATAGAACCTCTGACAGCCGTGAGCACTGTCAAGCTCTTCCTCCTCTTCCAGCTTCTTCCCTGCTTGTTTCTCCTCCTCGCCCCCACCTCGTTCTCCACCTCGTTCCCAGCTGGCCGAGTCTAACACAATGTAGGCTACTTCATGGACTGATCGTCACATGGGCGCTATAATCATGGAAACAAAACACATACATGTAGTATCTTGACTTACACTAAGAATACATGTATCAATTAATATAACATAGAATAATAAAATATATCCCATCACTCCTCCTCATATTCAACGTGCTCTCCAGTCTAGTCTGAAGGTCTTTTGTCTTACATGGGCGTCACATATCCTGCCTTCCCTCAAATGCTATGTCATGATAGTTGACTTTCTAAGTCTGTTGTCCGTCTTCACTCAGACTTCGAATTGGCTGACATAGATTTGACATAAACATGTGGCGCAGGTTATGTGCTGAACCCGCAAACAATTTATATGTGCACGCTGTCCTGAATATTATCTTTCAGTGACAGTAAATACTGTACACCCATCATTCTTCCCCTGGGGTTATAAATCCCCTGTTCAGGTGAACACATTAAGTGAGCACATGGTGGGCACACAAAACGTAGAAGCATCCCTGCACATATTTGGGCATCATTTCCCACAGTCCCAACTCATATTTTGGCTGATCATGGAAACAATATAATTACATTTCATTATAGCAAATGTCCTTGTTCACATCTTATTTTATACACATGAAAACATCCACTGAAAAACATGTGACACAAACATACAGGAAATAGGAATAGTTTAGAAGTTCCCTAACTTGAGATACTGAATACTCACAAATTAGGAAAAGGTAGTATAGACTAAGCTTAACTCCCTAACCTATGTATACAAGATTAAAATTAATATTTTCTCTCACCTGGGAACTTTTCCATCTATCGCCAAACCAGAGTACGACAGTAAAATATACCTTTACGTCGACCTGTTTGTTTGCCGGCAGGCTGCGATTAATGACGGGAATTCCACAGGCTCGAAGTATAAGTATCAATCTATTGTCCAAATTAAACTCCTCCCTTTCCTGGATTCTGCCCAACCCTCAAGACGATGACTTAAGCTCCGCCTCCGGAGTACCTATCAAATCAAATTAGCTAACAAGTGGCCTGTCAGTCAATTCTGGACTGACATCCCTAGAGCAAACATTCTTAAGTGCCCCAATCTAGTTTACACCGAATCTAACTGGCCGGTGTGAAAGACGGTCAGTGGAGCCATCGTGTTTCCTACGTGACCAAGATCAAGATAAAACATTCCTAATTGCCAAACACCTGTTCTCTCCAGAATTACACTGACGTGTTAAACTCCGACCTCCCGGCTCCACAATGTCTAGCGTCTACTCAATTCCCCTGTTCAAAAGGGCCCCTCTCAGGCTGTGTTAGGAGATAACATTCTGACACTGGCATGAGAATAGAATTCCTAGCTACAGTGTAAAGTTTTAGGTAATATTGCCCAAGACTCAGTCGCTTTGTCTGGACTAAGGACTGGAAACATTTAAATCAATTTTGGTTTAAGTAATATTAGGGTAAAGGGCAGAGTACGTATAATCCTGTCTCTTTAGAACCAGGAGAACTTATTACAAGTACTGACTTCTGGAACCACTGAGATCGTCTCGTGACAGTGTTGTTCTGTGCAGTAGAAGTTGTTATAAATGTATCGTCGGTGTTGTTCTGTGTAGTAGAAGTTGTTATAAATGTATCGTCGGTGTTGATCTGTGAAGTAGAAGTTGCTATAAATGTATCGTGGGTGTTGTTCTGTGAAGTAGAAGTTATAAATGTATCGTCAGTGTTGCTCTATGTATTAGAAGTTGTTATAAATGTGTCGTCAGTGTTGTTTTTGTGGAGTAGAAGTTGTTATAAATGTGTCGTCGGTGTTGGTCTGTGAAATGGAAGTTGTTATAAATGTGTCGACGGTGTTGTTCTGTGAAGTAGAAGTTGTTATAAATGTGTCGTCGGTGTTGGTCTGTGAAATGAAAGTTGTTATAAATGTGTCGTCGATTTTGGTCTGTGAAATGGAAATTGTTATAAATGTGTCGTCGGTGTTGTTCTGTGAAATGTAAGTTGTTATAAAAGTGTCGTCGGTGTTGGTCTGTGAAATGTAAGTTGTTATAAATGTGTCGTCGGTGTTGGTCTGTGAAATGAAAGTTGTTATAAATGTGTCGTCGATTTTGGTCTGTGAAATGTAAGTTGTTATAAATGTGTCGTCGGTGTTGGTCTGTGAAATGTAAGTTGTTATAAATGACCATATCACCCACAAGTACCGACGGGTCTATAAAATATAGGTCTAGCCCTGTATGCCCAGAACGTCTTATGGCGAGGAAAATGGTTCCTGACCTTTACACCACGCAATCCCTGTCCGTTTTAGTAGTAGTACATTTCGCCCCATTAGGACATCACACAAGCGATAAACACCCGATGATACAAAGTGCCACCATGTGGTTGAGGATCGCCCGTGGAGAGGCCCCGGAAACCGCGTTCAGCCATTAGGCCATCTTTATGGCCGGGCTATATTGCGGCCGCTGGCAAGAGCCAGTGTGGGAAAGAATCGGAGGTTGTTGACAATAATTCATTTCTAGGGTCCTAAGGCAGCAACAAACTATTACGGGACCAAGTAATCAATACGAGAATCGGTAAAGGGGCAACAGCAATGAATAAAAACTGCCAAACTACCAATTACTGCCTTTTTTATACCACTTTTGCGGGGTTTTTTTTTTTGGGGGGGGGGGGGGGGGGGGGTGGGGGTCTTTGCGCCTGAAGAATTTATGGCTGTATGGCCAGTTCTGTCGCCACGACTGTGCAGGTGAGGACTTTTTTTTTGCCACTGACAAGAAAAAAAATATCCCTAGCCATATCTACCGCGTTCGGCCAGCCCCTCCTCTAACAGCCGGTTAAAATGGACGCTAGACAGCGGCGCTGTGTCGGAGCGGAGGCAAATTTTTTGCTTCTGCCGGACGGTGGCCGAAGTATTTTTGCTCCATTTGTAGACTGGATATAGTTTCGTCGCCCAGCTTCTGAGTTGAATGCATGGCGTGACCCTGTGAGCTGCGGATTGCATTTGGAATGTTTTTTCGACTGTGACCAACGTGGTGTGAATTGTAGATTCAGAAAATGGCGCGATGCCGGTCGTCAATGTTGGCGGTGCCCGTGTGTGATTACAATTGATCGCGTGGGAAACTGCTGATCTGTTGGCGACAAGTTCTGCTATCATCAATGATGAACTGCATTTCTAATGTTGGACTGTTTGTGTTAGCACTTCGGATGGCTACCATATGCTTTAATGCGAGTGTATGCTAGATATGCTGAGACAGCAGTCTGTCAATCTTTCCACAAGGGACTGTGATAAACATTCTGGGTGTTTTTCGCTGGCACAGGAGCAGAGCAAAGATGGGGCGACCCGTTTGCTATGAAGCTGAAACTAAGACTACCAGACCAGACCAGCAATGAGTAGATTACATAGTTTGGGGAACAGAATGCTCACAGTTAAAAACCAAGCTTGATCTACCAAGCTTGTGTTCACAGCACTCTTTATTACGATGGTGAAGAGTGATAAACTAATTCAAACCTGGAGAAACGGTTAAATATCATTCACATGTCATGGATACAAAGAACACTTGGAATCAAGTGGCAAACTAAAGAGGTACTGGAAAGAGCAGATATCATTATAATTTCATGAATGACCAGTCTTAAGAGGCGCAGATGGATACGTCCATTTAAAGAATGAAAGATATTCTGTATAGTGAACTACAGACTGGTAACAGATTTCGAGGTCTGCGTCTGCGACACACGCTTTCGACAATAGCGGTGATTCACGTGCCTCCATTTGACCAGTGCATTAGGATAGTTTAGAAAGACGGAAACTGGCAGCGTGAAAAAATAATAATGTGCTGAAAGGCAAAAAAATATCATAATAACTGCATAAGTTACAAGTTGCATTAACTGATACAGTTGTTAATTCGGACTAACAATCAGCAAAAAGAAGAGCAGAATTAAGATGGAAAGTATTAATAAAAGACCTGTAGCCTTCAGTAATAGTAAAAAGCCAGGGACAGTTGACCATTTCTCTTCTCTGGGGCCCTCATTATGGGCGGTGCGTGGTCTCGAGGCAGAAAACCCCCTGGCAGTTGGAAATCAAAAAGAGAAGCAAACGGCGCTGCCGGGCAAAATATGGAGTTAAAAATCTACCCAAAGTATTTCAGGATCCTCGTCGGTGCTACGGAGTTCGTGCATTGCGCTGAGATTCTTCAGACTCGGGCTTGAGATAGAAGTAGATCGGAGCATTTTTTGGGTTACACCCGTGTGCCATGAATTTAGATTTGTTGTGTAAACCTAAACTAGTTAATGGTGTTCTCATCGGTGTAGGGTGAGATTCAATTTTAGCCCCTTTCCCTGTAATTTTGTTCTGGGCTGATGAAATCTTTTTTCCCCTTTCATCGCAGATAATGACAGCGTAGCCAGGAAACTGAAGGAGCAAGTTCGAGTTCTGATTTGGGTATTGACCTCTCCTGCAAACATGGAAAAGAGGGCAACTGCTGTGAAAAACACGTGGGCTCGGAGATGTAACAAAATCCTGTTTTTCAGGTACAATGCTGTTTATTAAAATTACTCATAACAGAGACATGTAAAAAGGGAAAGTGTAAATAGATCAAAGCTGTCACTCAGTTAAAAGATGTGTTAGACATAAATGCACAAACAGAAAACACACACACATACATTTATGGATATACATGCACACACACATTCCATTCATACACATCTATACATGCACCCATGCATACACACATATACCATCACATGTACAGACACCAACATATGCCCAAAATCACACATTTACACTTACATGAATACATACACCAACATACATGCATACATACATGTATACATATATTCACACATACAAACATACACATACATGCATTCATACATACATTTATACATAGACTCACATCTTTACACACATACATACATACCTAAATATACTTTCATATATCCACATGCATACACACACAATCACACACACATGCATAATTGCATGCTTTTATAAAGACACAAACACCCACATGCCTACACAGCTACACATACCTGCATACACCCACATTATACATAAATATACACACACAGATACAATTACATACTTACACAGCTACATTTACATTTATACATTCTCATTCTTACAGACATACATAATACATACATGCACCTACATACATATACGCACACATACACACATCCACATGTATACATACATAGGCTAAATCTGCATGCATACATAATACAAACATACATCAACATACATATACAAACATAAAACACACACATCTATTTACATAGACATACATGAGCACACACACGCATACATACACACATCCATACATACACTTACATACTTACAAAGATACATACATACTTGCAAACACACATAAATTCACACACATACTTACACAGATACATATACATACATACATCCACCAACATGCATACAAACACACATACATGCATACATACACACACATAACATACATACACACATATGCATGCATACAGACATAAATAATCACACCCTTGATGTGTGTTAGGATACTGATAATTGACCTGGCCTCTAGATATTAGTAACATCCTGTGACAAAGAGGAAAACCAGAGCTAGAAATCACTAAACACCATACACTGTTCACCACCCATCTACACTCCTACAGTATTTTAGCTCAGATGTCTGTGCTAGGCTTTTATAGACCAATCAGGCCTGTAATAACACCCGGATCACCATTGACAGTAGTGAGGTTAGAAAAGAACTATGTTTTGTCTAATGCTACTTCCCATTGATAGTGAGAGTTTGCACCGAGAGTGAAGGAAGAAATGATTGTAGAAAAGGTGAGGGCTAAGCGTCTTAAAAGAAACGGATTTAAACACAAATGTTGACCACAGTGGTCCTTAAATCCCATGCTATCATTGTGGAAGACTTTTCTTGACACGGGCGGGTCTCGGTAGTCACACTCGCCATCGCCATGAGATGTGAGTCCTATGCCTCCTCATAGCACAATATAACAATACCGCCTGGAAAGACGGAAAGGTGCTAATCAATCAGTTTGCATATGCCAACCTACAGAGGGATAACATTTTTTTCTTTCCATAATTGGGTACTTATGTTTTGCAACAGATAGTCACGTTTGTCCTAAACTCAGCAGCAGTGCTGAATGCTTCAGTAATTATAATCTATAAAGTACTTACCCATGCTAATAGAAGTTCCCAGGTGAATCGGTGACTTTTAAAGAAAGGCAAACAGATACTCAGTTAAGGCAGCAAGCCTTCTGCTTAGTCTGGAAGCTAAGTCAAGAATATCCAAAATTTAAGCGTCCCTCCGGCTTGCGGCGGGAGGGGATTTATCCGCGACCAAAGCTGTAGCTAGGCCACGGAACTTAGCTTTGCTATAAGTAAAACTCAAACATATATGGCTGAATTTATATATATTGCATTATTACGAGAATTAGAATAGAACTGAGTACTTATCCCGACACATTAAAACATCAGTACAAAAGAAAGGTTATTTACTTATATAGGAAAGTACACGATTTTAAATTGACTCATTTACCTAGAGGTGCACAAGATGTGGGCAGGTTTAAGACCAGAGGGGCGTGGTCTCTCATGAAACAAATATGATGAATTTTGTACAATCAATCTCATTAACCATGTCACTAAACTTACTCAGAATCATAATGAGGAGAACAATAAAGAAAATACAAATAGAAATTAGGGAAGAGCAGTATGGTTTCGTAAAAAGGAAAGGTACAAATAATGTAATGTACACATTACGAACATTAGTAGAGAGATCAACGGAGAAACAGAAAGACATATAGTTGTGCTACATAGATTACACTAAAGTGTTTGATAAAGTCAAACATGATGACATATGGTGGATATTAACATTGACAGAAAAGATCTCAGAATAACAATAAGTATTTACTGGAAGCAAGATGCAACAATTAAATTGGTAAATAAATTAGGCAGGTATGATCAAATAAAGCAAGGAGTGAGACAAGTATGTGTTTTGTCACCGGATCTCTTCTCTGTAAAAAGGGAGGTTAAAGATAAACCAGGAATGTTAAAATATAAACAGTCTTCGTTATGCAGATGATACTATATTAATAGGTGAAAACACAGAAGCCCTACATCAACTATTAGACATTGTGGCACTAGAGAGTACAAAAGAGGGACTTTCCTTGAATGTCAAGAAAACATAAACAATGGTTTTATCAAAGACGAAGATAACTCTAAAAATGTGACAGAAATTAAGGGAAATTGCTTAACCAAGTCAGTAAATTCAAGTATTTGGGGACAGTCATAACATGAGATGGACAATGTGTGACAGATATTAAGAGCAGGATTGGCCAAGCAAAGGCAGCATTTCAGAAGATGAAAAGTATCTTACATTATAAATCACTCTCACTAAACATAAGAAAACGAGTACTGCATTGTTATATCGAGCCTGTTCTGGTCTATGACAGTGAATCTTGGAATGTGTGCAAACAAATTAGGAAGAGTTTAAAAGCAGCGGATATGTTGTTCTTGAGGAGAATGTTGCGAATGCCTTAGACTGCCAGAATAACTAACAATGATTGCATGGAAATGATTAATGAAAGTAGAACATTGTATACAACAATGAGAAGGAGGCAGACAAAGTTCTTTGGTCATTTGATGAGAAAAGGAGCACTGGAAAATGTTGTGACGACTGGAAAGATCAATGGTAGAAGAAGCAGATGCAAACTAAGATGAATGATGTAGATCATTTAAGATAGTAGCATGCAGTAATATCATCAGCGGAATTTCCAGAATACCAAGAACCGAGATCTGTGGAGATGCATGAGGCACTTTATGATGATGACTTTTACAATAAATGGTCCGTAAGACGAAAACAATTTTCAAAGACAGTAAATACTGCTTCTAGAATGTTCATCTCTGATAGTAAGGCCAGGTTTTGGACCACCCCATCTTAATGCTTCTGTGACATTTTGTTGTTGTTTGATTATTCCAGAACCAGCAACAGACATTTTCCACAGCTATTGTAACACTACTTCTCAACTGTCCCAGTTGTTTGAGTACATCAGATGTAGAAGGGGCAGTTATATATCTTGCTGCTACCATTTTGTTTGTTTGTTTGTTTGAACAGACTATATTTATAACTGCTCTCTATTTATTTACTTATTCATGGAGCAGTCATCATCCTTCTGATCAGGTCTAAGCTGATTATAACAGAAAGCTATGAGTTAATACATGATGCTAAGACTATCCTGGCAGAGTCACTTATTACTTGCGTGCTTGGTATCCATAACAGATCTGTGAGAATTCCCCATGACAATGGTAGTGTTTTTCCTCGCCAGCTCAAAGGACAATGCAACATTCCCTGCAATCGGTCTTAACGTCCCTGAGGGCAGGGAACATCTAACAGCGAAGACAATGAAAGCCGTTCGCTACATTTATGAGCATCATTTTGATGATGCCGATTGGTTTATGAAAGTGAGTTTTGGAACTGTATGATGTTTATTGTTTACAGCAGAGCAGTCAGACAAATACTCAGTCACCTGAATGGAAACCTGTAGATACATTTAAGATAGTCTGCAGAAAAAATAAATAATTGGTCGTTGAAATTCTTTGCTCAGAATGGTTGAAACATATTGTTCTTTATCATCGATCTATGTAATATTCTTGAATAAAAAAAGGTTTACTAGATTACAACTAATCAGGTTTTTTTTTTTTTTTTTAAAATACGAAGAAATTGTTTTTCTTACCAAAATTTACCCATACGATTTTCGATAATTCACTTTATATCTGCCTATATAAACAGCGGGAGTCGCCGTTGCGGAGCGGCTAGACGCTCTCCACAGATCGGAAGGTTGTGGGATCGCTCCCTGGAGGAGCCGGACTTTTTTCGAAAATGACCTTGGCTCCCAGGTCGACCCAGCCTTGAGTGGGTACTGGGTGCAGTCCCGGGAAGTAAAGGCGACCGGCGTGACGCTGGCCACATCACTCATATTGTGCTATTTAGTCTCTAAAATATAGTTCTAGCCCTATATAAACGATACGCCTAAAGGCGTAAAAAAGGGTCCTTTACTTTTTTTTTTTTTAAAAACTACATAAGCAGCTTTGTATGTTACCTGCTAAAAAACTATTCTTGCTGGCCAGAAATCTACATAGTGATTGTATTTGTGGGAAGTCCCCGTGGCGGAGCGGCTAGACGCTCGCCGCGAATCAGAAAGTCGTGATTTCGCTCCCTGGCGGAGCCGGCCTTTTCTCAAAAATGACCTTGGCTCCCAGGTCGACCCAGCCTTGAGTAGGTACCGGGTGCAGTCCAGGGAAGTAGAGGCGGCCGACGTGATGCTGACCACATCACCCATCTTGTGCCGATTGTTCTATAAAAATATAGGTCTAGCCCAAATGCCCGATACGCCTAAAGGCGTGGAAAAGGGTCCTTTACTTTACTTTAATGATTGTATTTGTAAATTTTCTTTTTTCAGTCATTATCCATCTTTGCAAATATTTGAATTATGTGTTTGTGAAACCAACAACCAAAGCCAGTGGATTTAAGAGGCTGTCACATGATTGCCAGTCTGCACTTTCATTGAGAGTGTATTTTCTCTTGTATTATATCAGTTAAAACACAAACTAGAAAAAGAATTCAGCTAAACGTCTTGAGACAACAGTGAGAATAAGAACAAAACTGTTCTGATCTAATTAATGTTACAAGGACTTTAGTGCATCCCCTATTATGTCAACTAACTTACATACTGATAAAGTGTATAGTGATAGTTTTAATGGAGACGACAGCGACATATTTTGAGCTTGTGTATGGTGTGCATGAAGTAGCACTGTGTTTTCTCCTGGCGTTTTTGTTTGCATTTTCTAGCCCATTGTTCAGTCGATTTGGTAAATTTTGAGTTGGCAACCCTGCTATGTAATGTTCACATTTGCCAAAGCCTGGTTAACGACTTGTGTGTGCCCCTAGACAGAGCAGTATGTATGTTATTTACGTTCGGTTGGATACTGTAAGCCTCAGTGTCCACAGATTCTAAGATGTAAACCATAAATATTTCAGGCAGACGATGACACTTACGTTATTGTTGAAAATCTGCGCTATTTTCTGTCAGGCCAGAACACGAGCGAACCTGTTTTCTTTGGTCATCATTTTAAATTATTTGTAAAACAAGGATATTACAGGTAAGTGGAATCCAGACATGCAAGAATTATATTATGTTTTGTTGTTCAGGTGTACCACATGGGAAAGGCAAGACGAGTAGTTAACCAGATGACAACAGGTACAATCAGTATAGAGATTGTTCGCTGGCTGTTCAGAAGGAAGACAGAGCAAATATGGAATTGACCTGAGTGCTGCGATGTTCAATCTTTACCTAGACGAACACAAGTGTAGCAGCCCCTGTATATTTCTTCTTCTTTTGTGTACCTTCTCTGGCCCAGACATTGATGATCATGACAGTTGAGACGGGGGAGTGAGTCTGGTACCTGTTCCAAGTCTTTTCAGTGCTCAGTCTTCGAAGGCTGAGGTGGCTAGGTCCCACCTGGAGAATGAAAGATGGCAGAGTCCCTGAGGACAAGTCTATGGTGAATTAAAGACCGATAGAAGATGTCGAGGCCGATCGCTACTACGATATAAAGATGTGTGCATGTGGGACATAAATGAAACAGGTACGGAGGTAGATTTGTGGGAACACAATGCCATGGACCATGTTGTGTGGAGGGACCACATCAGGAAGGGAATGAGAATGAAGGAAGAAATTATTGCAGAAAGGATGAGAGCTGAGCGTCTGAGAAAAAACAAACTAATTACAAATGTTGACAACAATGGTCCTGAAATCCCATGCTATACTTTCCCATGCAAATGTTGCAGCCTAGCTGCAAACCGCAACACACAATCTGAGCTGTAAATTCCGGAGGCAAAACAAGAAGAAAAGAACAAGGTAATTAACCAATGATTGGTACTGACAGATTTAAACAGTGAAGAGATACCGTATCTTCCACTTGTAGGCGTTCCTAAGGTCAAGACCCAACAGAGGGCACTGATTGTTTATGCGTCCATTATGATTCACGTTTTTTATTATATCGGTTGAGACATATATTTTTTTTTTTTTTTTTGGTTTCAGAAACAATAGTTGATTTGTGAACATTCAATTTCAAAACATTTAGCCATGTAGTGTCTGTCTCCTTCAGTTGTGATAGTCGCAGTGTGTTTGTACAGTATTTATTTGAAGGTGGCCCATCCATATATCGAGTTTTCCTCTTGGTTAAAAAAAAGTAAAGGTTCCCTTTCCACGCCTTTAGGCGTATAGGGCAAACAGGGCTAGACCTATACTTTTCCAGACCAATCGGCACAAGAGGGGTTATGTGGTCAGCATCACGCCGGCCGCATTTACCTCCCGTGAGCAGGTAACCACTCAAGGCTGGGCCGACCTGGGAGTCAAAGTCATTTTTGAAAAAAGTCCGGCTCCGCCAGGAAGCGAACCCACGACCTTCCGATCCCCACGCGAGCGTCCAGTCGACACGCCACGGCGACTGACTTCCCCTCTGGACTTCTATATAAAAGTTTTGACCACTGTGAGATTGAAAAAAATCGCAGTCTGTTTGGCAGACCTGCAGGGCAAAACACCGACAGTCCGCTCAACCTCCAGAGCAGTTATAAATGGGCCATCTTGAACTGTTACACCAGGTGAGAAGGACGTGGCCTTAGCGTTCCTCTCGCAATATTTTTTTTCATGGCAGCGCGCCTGTCTGGGTGTGAGAGATTTCCTGGATCCAGCAATGACCATTAATTTTCAGACATGACCTACCACCAACAAGCATGAGAAGGAAGGTGGTTAATTATGTGTTTGTTGACGTAAAATATTTTTGGTCGTAAGGCACAGTTATCGCAGCCTAACTGTAAACTACAACAGAAAAGACCGACTGCCCTTTTAAAGATGAGCGCAGAAGAAGTTATAATATAAAATGACCTTCTCAAGCTGCTGTTGAAAAATAAATATGTTTGTCTTTCTGAAAGCGGTGGTGGAGGTTATGTTCTCAGTAAAGAAGCTTTACGAAGGCTTGGTCCGAAGGCAAACGACTCTTCAATATGCAGACAAGATGGTGGTTCAGAGGATGTAGAACTCGGACGCTGCATGGAGAAACTGGGAGTTAGGACGGCTGAGAGCATAGATTCCATGAACAGGAGTAGATTTCATTGTTTTGATCCAGAGACTCATCTGTCTGGTAATTACCATGTAACCTATGCACAGTATGATTCACATGGGGCTAAAAAGGTAAGTCATCTCGTGCTAAAAGAAAACAAACATTCGTATGATGTTAATATTTCAGTATTGTCCAGTCCCTAATTTTTTCTCTCCATTTACAGGGTTGTTCAAATTGAACGTTACACTTTTATTTATGTATATTTAATTGAATATATATTAAATTTGATAATATGCATGCAAGAGAGAGGGGAAGGTCTACAGTTTTGAGTACTACCGCTAGAGCGCAGTTGCCGTCCAGCAGAACCGTGTCACAGCCACAGTGAACTCACTTACGCAAGAGATGTTTCTTTGTGTGTGGGATGAGTTCGGCTACCGCTGAGATGTTTGCCTAGCAGCAGATGACGGCCATATTGAACATCTATTACTTCTATTAAGTTTGTAAACTTTAGACCCTGAGAGCCGCTGTGGTCTACCGGCTAGATGGTCGCCTGCGGATCGGCAGGTCGTGGTTTCGGTTCCTGGCGGAGACCGGACTTTTTTTTTTAAAAATGACCTTGGCTCCCAGATCGACCCAGCCTTGAGTGAGTACCAGGTACAGTCCTGGAAAGAAAAGGCGGCCGGCGTGATGCTGACACCACCCACGAAGTGCTGTTTGGTCTATAAAATATAAGTCTAGCCCTATATATCCAAGAAGAAAGAAAAAGAAGATATATCCAATACTTCTGAAAGGCGTACAAAAGGGTCATTTACTTTTTTTTTTTACTGAGACCTTCCTCTCTCACAGCCACGGTGGAATGGTAGGAACCCCTAGAACAGTTCTTTTCACAGTGTGCTTTGCCGATCCTTCAGGAGTGATAGGGACACTTAAGTGGGTGGTATAGCGCCAGCTATGAGAAGTACTGGTCTTAGAGGCTCATACCACTCCCCCCCCCCCCCAGGCCTTAATCAACTGGGTTAACATAACGAAAATCTCCCCAAATAGAATAGGCCACTTTTCATTCACAAGTTTGTTGGGCTGGTCGACTTTCATTAAGGTTACAGGTGTCTCCAGCTCTATTGTTTGCTTTCTGTGATGTCTTGCATTTATGTTTTTATTCCGAGAAAAAAAATTCCTTTGAAATAGGTTGCAGCACACTCTAGGCGGAGCTGTGTTAGGGCCAGTTGCTCCATGTTTTTGGAGCGTTAAAAGCACTGGCGTGCTGAAATATACAATACGCGATATGAACGGTATTGCGGAACACCACTCTGACTTTGCGCGAAGGTCACAAGGCTCATGAACTACCAATCAGAAGTGATCTAGGGTGTATATAGGCTGGGCGTGGGTAGATTAATGTTACGTGTTCCCTCAGCTGTTGGCGGTCTCTCAGCCGATAAGGCATCTACATTATCTAAAGCCTCAGCGCTCCTATTGGGATGGAAGCCCCCACAGGGAGAAACACTGCTCTAAAACGCTAACTCGGTATCCTCTCTAAAGCAGTGGCTCTCAACCTTCCTAATGCTGCGACCTTTTAATACAGTTTCCTTATGCTGTGGAGACCTCTAGACAATTATTTTCCTTTATAACTTCAATGAATATGTGTTTTCCGATGGTCTTAGAAGACCCCCGTGAAAGGTACGTTCCACCCACGCACTAAGAAAAGGGTCGCGACCGGCGGGCTGAGAACCGCTGCTCTAAAGTAAGAAAGAGACCCTTGTCTATTTCTTCAGGTGTACCGGACACAGCGTTAGACATGTATGCTGTAGACCAAACGGCACTTGATGGCTGATGTGGTAGAAATACAGAAATCCAGCTCCGTTTGGTTTTGAACCCACGATAGTTTTCATATTAGTCATAATTAATTGTAGTCACCCTGTTACTACTCTTGGACCATTTGTTTTCAGAAAGCACAGAAAACAATAAATTAAAAAAAAAATTATTTGAAATATGGAGGACAACGAAGAAACAATGAAAGCAGTTTTAGCAGCAAAATACGAAAATGTGTCATATTTTTAACGTTAAAAGCTTTTCATTGCTAGCACTGAAGTGACTGATTGGAAAAATAAATGGTAGACGGCCTTAGACCTAGCAGGATTCTAGAAGCACAATGTATATGGTTATTTAGTAAGTTAACCAAACGACAACTCTTACACTCTTGCTTGCTACTTTCTAATGTTTTTGAATCAATTTGATAATAAAACATTTCATTTTGTTTGTATCTGACCAGGGTCCAGAAAGTATAAGTGACTATGCCATCAGTTTTCACACCATCACCCCACAGAAGATGCAAGCGCTAGATTTCTACATATATCATCTTAAACCTTATGGTATCAACTCAGGAAATCAGGACTTGAACAGGCGTGAAGATAAAGACCTAAAACACTGATATTCTGTGTTGAGATATTCTAAATTTTTGTTACATTCAGTGGTTGTTGGCGACGTCCGTGGCTTAGGCGTTGGAGTCTTGTAATTCCAACGTACCGCGATCGAAATCCACTGCTGGCTGCATGGATTTTTATCATGGTATGAGGCGTCGCAGGTCGACCCAGCCTAAAATGGGTACCAGGATGTATGTCCTGGGGAAGTAAGGACGGCCAGCATAAGGCTGACCACATTACCCACCTAGAGCCGATTGGTCTGTAAAATGTTGGTGCTCTTCCCATGCGATGCGCTTAAGACATGAAAAGGTCTTTACTTACTCTTCGATATTAGACTATATCTACCCAATAGGCAGGGAACAATCAATTACACGCAAAAAAAAAAAAAAAAAAAAAAAAGGCAGTTAAACTGATGTATATACTCAAAACTTATGAAGCCAAAGTCCGAATGGACCAACAACTAGGACTTTTCACTTGAGCTTAAAGCCTGTGAATAAAAATGAAGACATATATGAGACTTGTAAAGAAAAAAAAAAAGTAAAAACGTGTTAACAGGTTCAAATAAAGTGTGCGAACAGTTTTGAATGAAGTGTAGGAACAGTTTTAAATGAAGTGTACGAACAGTTTTGAATTAAATGTATGAACAGTTTCAAATAAAGTGTACGAACAGTTTTGAATTAAATGTATGAACAGTTTCAAATAAAGTGTACGAACATTTTTGAATGAAGTGTAGGAACAGTTTTGAATTAGATGTTTAAACAGTTTTAAATAAAGTGTACAAACAGTTTTGAATGAAGTTAAGGAACATTTTTAAATAAAGTGTACGAACAGTTTCAAATGAAGTGTAGGAACAGTTTTGAATTAAATGTTTAAACAGTTTTAAATAAAGTGTACAAACAGTTTTGAATGAAGTTAAGGAACATTTTTAAATAAAGTGTACGAACAGTTTCAAATGAAGTGTAGGAACAGTTTTAAATGAAATACTGAAGACTATCATTGAGTGTGTGGTTATTTTATCCGTATTGATTAGTTTTCAGTATAATTGTTCTTTATTTGCATTTGTTTATTAACAGAAATCACGAATGAAGCAAGTAATTATCACTCAGAATCTCTTACTTATGGACACATCATGTCTTTTTTTACTGGTAGTCTTTTGTGGTTTTTATCACTACGATTTTTCTTAAGTATTTTTTATCTTTTTTATCGGTCTAGTAACATTTATACTTTTATTCTATGCCTTATATAAAAGTGCTTACATTGGTTTCAGATACAGCGTCTATTTGTTGAGACTTATAATGATAAAAGATATAACTGTAATATTTGACTGTAAAAATTTTAAACATTAACACAACAAGCACTGTTTTACTTGGATAATGTTAACGTTTAAGCATACCAGAGAAAATACTAAACTGTGTTTCTACGTATAATTTATTCGCCTATCCGTTTTATCACCAAATTTTCTTGTATCTTTTAAACTTAACTTTCCAGTTCCCTTCTACGTGTCTTTATTTGTTGCCTTTATTGCAATGCCCCTGTGGGTTCTAGTGTAAAGCTCTTCTAGTTATACTATTCTCAGTTTTCTTTAAATATTTGATCTATCAAACTCCAGCATCTTTTCTTCATCTCTTGATTCACTAGAATTTGTTTAGTTCTGTCTAAAAGCCCAACATTAGGGATACTATTATACCATTTAATTCCCTCTACAGTCTATATGCATCAGTTAATGAACTTATGCAATTTTTTAGTAATTGGTTTTAGTTGTTTTCCATGTTTTGGCTCCATACAGCAATACTTATCATGCATTAGAATTACAAGCTTAAGTTTAGTATAAGTTTTAATTTCCTTTAATTTCCACAAAATTCCTACCTCTATAAAAACGTCTCTTGCCATTTGTATTTATATTTCGATGTCTCTGTTCCTCCATATTTATCTACATTACTGCCCATATGGGTGTTTGACTCCACATCTTAGAGTGGGATTAAGGACAGGGCACGACAGTCTTCATCAACATGTGTTCAAACTTTTCGGTGTAGGGAACAAGGAGACGTGCTCCTGCAACGTGGCACCCGAAAATGCCGAACATGTGCTCCAGCACTGTTAACTGTATAGTGTCGACAGAGATGCAATCTGGCCTGTTCCAACCACAAATAAGACAAAAACTGTGTGTCACCCGAGAAGATATGGACTGCACGATAGCTCTCATAAAGGCTGATATAAGTTTTCTGACAGAAGGATCGAAGAAGAAGAAGAATTTCGTAAGAATCCACAAAACAAACTAGGAGAGAAATAGTTAGAGCAATTTGGAGTCTTGGTCTCTTGTTATAAATATCCAGGGGATCAGGCCCTAGCCCACCGAGCAGATAGGCAGGCACGTTAGTCCGCTGCTTCTTTGATGACGCCACGTAAATGAACAATTTCAAATTTTCCCAATCGCTAAATATTTAAATCGGAAAATGGTCTATTTATAACTGAAGGGAAATAATTACAAAATTCAAACAGAGCAATGAATAAACCGACTTCCTTTCCTTTGACCAAAGAAATTGGGTTTTGACCAATAGCAGTATGGAACAATTATGAAATGATATAAGGTGATTTCAAAAAGAAAAAAACATCTGTCTACGCTTTTGTTTTTGTTTTCTGCAAATTTTAGCAAACTCACCATGTCTACACTCTATGCAGTTGCAGATAGTCCGAAGCTGTCATACACGCGTATTTAAAATCCATTTGCGTCCCTTTTAGGACGAAATCTTTTGTCATTTGAAGCCCTACTCTGGCTTTTGCCAGGGGCCGCAATATAGGCAGGCCATACATATGGCCAAATGTCTGAACGCGGTTTCTGGGACCTCTCCACGGCGATCCTCATCCGCATGGTGGCACTTTGTGTCATCGGGTGTTTATCGCTTGTGTGATGTCCTGGTGGGGTAGAAAGTCAGTCAGTAGTCGACACGCATATTTGGCAATGTCCAAAGAGATGATAACCAAGCCCCTTGAAAGTCGGAGAAAAGGCTTCTGTGGGGCGAGAGATTTGCTGATAAATCGAGCCACATTTTTTTTTATTATCTTAGAGAGTCATCAAGTCCGTATTTGTTGCTGTTGTTGTTGTTGTGTGGGTTGATCAGATTTGCAGATCACTTGATTACATGTTTGTAGTGTAAAAGAATATCTCATTAAATGGTTAGAATTCGCATCTTAAAAATCATAGGATATGTGTTATTATCCTTGCGTTGAAAGGGAACTAATTTACTTTACACGGATAATGTAAAAAAAAAAAAAAAAATTCAAAACATTTTTCACTGAATCGTTGATGTTTTCGAAAACAGCCTTTATTACCTTGTCAAGAAAGAGTGTTAACTCTGGTGCCCATTTCCTAGAGGCTGGGTGAACACCGGTAAACGCCCGGTATCGAACACCGGCCGTGGGCTGCAGCGAGTCGCAGCTGGATTTGAAAGTGAGTCTCCTGCTGACTGCGCTGACGCGGCTCCTTAAATGACGTTTCTTGCTTGTGGTTTAAAATGTAATGGGACATTCTGTTATATTTAATATAACTGTGTTTGATGAAATCCTGCTTTGCTGGAGATAAAAGGGTGTGTGTGTGTGTGTGGAAAGGGGGAGGGGGGACAGTGATATGAGGTAATTGAACGCAATAATGGTATGTCATCTACTTTTTTAAACACATCGATCTTATCATAATAATTTTGGGCTTGTTTGTTATTTGTTCTTTTTGTGTGTGACAAAAACAACAACACAACAACAGCAACAACAACACTTATAGTATTTCTTTATACATTCAGGACACTTCAAAACGTCATACTGAATATTTCAGTACTGCCTGTCTTCGTTTGTAACTGCCAACATGTATCTCTTGAAGGACAATGGGGAAGAATCTTACTAAACATAGTTTAGCATAACTTGATACATTGCATCTATATGCTGTATGTGACAATACAAGTTGTGTTAATATCATTCTATCTGTTTCTGTCTTCAGTAAGTAGGAGAAGGGAAGGTATTTAGAAAATAGTTGGTAAAGATTTGAACTGTTTAAAGGTTTTCAAATATATCCGGTTCGACTTTGTTATTACAATGTCACCTGCTATCTAATATGGACGACCATGCCTCTCCACTAGCTGTGATCTTCAACAGGATGTATTAGTTCGTGTGCTGACATCCCTCCATGCCATGACAAAAAGCTGTTGTCGCGTTGTCTTCCTCTGCCCCATCCCCATTTTTTTCAAATTTTTCCTGTGGTCACAATAAGCTCCAGTTTCTTTCTGCTCATAATATGATCAGAAAATGACAAATGTCTCTGTCTGATGTTTGTGATAATTTGTCTTTGAGCCGTCCATTCTTTCAAAATATCTGGGCTGCTAATTTTAGCTGTCCAATAAATTCTTAGAGTTTTCTATAAAAACATCTCAGAGGCCTCAAGAAATTGTTTGTCAACAGTCTGCATACAAATAAGTAAGAGTTTTAAAATTGACGTGCACACACGCACACGACTTAAATTCTGGAACAAGACCAACGTACGAGTTTACAATATTTGCTAGCTAAGAAGAAGTAGGAATTCTCGTAAAAACATTATATGATTCTTATAGGTAATGTAGAGTTTCTACCCTGGTGTCAAATCCTACTTCTATGATCCCAAAAAGAAAATATAACGCTATGCAATGAATGGTTTGTATTGACTGACAAAGAATTGAATGGTTCATCTAACTAGTGAGAGTGCAGCCACACCAAACTGCACATGCGATTTTTACCTCAGAACATCAGGGATGAAAGCGAAGAGAAGACCAAGAAAGATATGGATAAATGGTCTAGCTGAAACCTGCAAAACATAAACAAATGCACCACCGAGGCCACAAGGGAAGCTAAAAAAATCACGCCTAACGAACTTTTTATGTCCGTTTTTTTTCTTTCTTTCTTGCTACTAAAGCAGCTAGGGTGTGGGTTTTGGCTTCCACTCATCACGACTTTCTTTATTGGAGTTCTTGTAGGCTTGAGTAGAGATAGGTTCAAGGAGTAGATATGGTTCTTTCGTAATATCCTACCACAGATGACGTCACATGACGGTCCAATCTGTTAGATGTTGCTAAGACTGGGTTTCCCGGCTGTCTGATGCTTTTAACAACCATAACACATGTAGAACTGGCCCAAACACCAAAACACCTACGTCCCACGAGAGAGTGCAGCCTAGGTCCCACAACTGCATGCAGCCTATCTACCACACCCTGAAATATTATACTGTCTCGTGACCTGTGGATTTCCCGTTTGGGGTAGAATATTATGAAAGCACCGTAGACATTTATTATCCTTCACTGTGTCTCCCTCCTTCTATAAGACAACGTCCCCCGGCTATCCTCCGATAACGGTCCCAAATTATTAAGGCTAAGAAAATGCCCTAACAGGGCTTCAGGCCAGGGCTGCCAATGGGATTTTTTTTGAAAAACCCAGCTTCGCTAAACAAAAACCCAAGCAATACATAGACCAAAAAAAAAAAAAAACGCCCAGAAAACGGGAAATTGCGGACCTGTTTCCGGCGACTATACCGCAACCGCCGAGAGTATCCCCTGTGCCGCTACGCGCGGCGCGGAGGCGGGCTAAACGAGATGGCTGGGACTCACGAGCAGCAGCTACCGCATCTCCTGCAGCTTCCTCCATTTTATTTCCTCGTGAGTCCCAGCCATTTAGTTTGGCCCCTCCGTGTCGCGTTTAGCGGCGTGTGGGATACTCTCAGCGGTAGCGGTATATTCGCCGGTAAGAGGTCCGCAGTTTACATATGACTAAGGCCCTGTTAGTCTTAGCCTCGATAATTTGAGACCGTTATTAGGAGGATAGCCCATCCCCCTTATGATCTACTTTTAGTATATGTGGCGTTGTCGGCAGGATAGGTGACCAGCATGAGTATTTTTTTTGTGACGGCACTAGCGGAGACCAGAAAGATACCCAACTTCCCGTCCAGGATTCCTTTTGACGAGTGAGATTTATATATTGCAGACTTTGTGTAAATTTGTGGTTAGATGTTACGCAACAATTTTGTTTACTAAGGAGTGGTTTGTGCCTATGGTTCAGTGAAGTTTAGTTTGCACGCATCGTTTACTAAGGAATGGTTTGTCTATTGTTTACTATGGAGTGGTTTGTTTACGTCGAAGCTGAACTGTGGTCAGTTTATTTGTTATACTGTCTCTGTGTCAGGTTGAACTTTTAAGTCTGTTCATGTAAGGGAGTCCTATGTAAGGTACACAAACCGAACCCAGTTACACCGTAAAGTCCTTTTACATTGCTGTGACTAGTCAGTCCATTGAAGCTCCCTTAGAGCCAAAGTTGGTTACAACGGGTTAGTTTGGCCTCTAGTTTGCTAGTAGCGTGATATACTGAGTCACGAAATTATATTTGTCTAAAATGTGTGTCACCAGCATGAACGGTTTGGAAAGCTCTGCCCTAGAAGACTACAGTCAATGTAGTGTTATTTTCTGTGAGGATTGGCACATTCTATTAGCTGTTATATTTCCACCGTAGCCCTTTCACTGCCCCACCCCCTGTAACAACAATAGTTACTGATTTGCTATTTTATGGTCTTCGCGCGGAGAAATCACTGTTGACCCTCTGCCGCTCGGACAGATGCACTCCGATTTCGAAGCAAACATCGATCGTGACCATTCTGAACCAGCTCCCCAGTTGGGAACATATTCTAAGATGACCCCGAAGAGGTGCAGGTAAATCTTGACCAGTGGGAGTTTCGGTCCTCGCGCGCTAGCATATTTGATTTAGCATCTCTGCATCCCATAGAATATTTAAATTCTAAGGACATTTAAATAAGTACTGGTCATATTTCCTTCCTTAGGCGTTGCGAGTCCGACTCGTAATCAAACGTACCGCGATCGAAACCCACTGCTGGCTGCGTGGATTTTTATCATGGTATGGGGCGTCGCAGGTCGACCCAGCCTAAAATGGGTACCAGGATGGCTGTCCTGTGGAAGTAAAGACGGCAGGCCTAATGCTGACCACAATACCCATCCAGTGCCGATTGGTCTGTACAAATATTGGATGCTCTTCACGTATACCCGATGCGCCTAAGGCGTGAAAAGGGATCTTTACTTTTTATTTTTAATTTTATTTTACATACTTCTTTCTTCTTATAGTCAAAGCTGTGTGGCTTTGGAGGTCATGTTTACCCACAACCTTTAATTTCAGGTACTTTCAGTCACTTCTGACAGAGGTGATCTTCCATGTCATGATTTCAAAATGTCCAGCGTCTTCTCTCTCAGACTCTTCGCCTCTTTTCCCCTCCATCTTTCCCACCGTCACGATGTACGATGTTTTTCACTTCACAAAAACATGACCAGACAATGTAGATTCCCTCTGATGTGTACGATCAGTTATTTCCGTGAATCAAATTTCTTTTAAAACATCTTTATTAAATCTTCAGTAAATTTTGAGAAAGATCAATGTACCAACTGCATGCCAGCCAGCGCAAATCTGTTGGATTAGAATCCGTTTCTATGTGGATTTTTGTAATTGACATGAACTTCCAGGCCGGTACATAATTAAGCGGGTATTAGGAAAGTAAAGGTGGTCGGTGTGATGTTGGCCAATACATCTATGGGGTACCGATTGGTCTAAAAATATTTGGGTTCAGCATCATATGCCTGGGGCACGGTAAAAAGGTTTTCACTGGTTTCTTTTTTCTATATGCAAACAGGACAATCCTTTCTTTAGAACCACAGGGAAAATAAAACAGAGCGAGCACACACGAACGTGTTACAGACAACAAAATGAAGGACTAATTTTTCTTTGTCCCAATACACGGAACAATGTGGTATGTTTCACGAAAACAAAAAGGACACAGAGAAAACAATATTGGAAAATACATTATTTATTTAATTGCTAGAGCTTTTGTTGTTCTTTAATTCAAGATTCTCCTTTACGTTGCAAATACCATAAGGCCGAAGGTGATAAACATAGAACTCTAATTCCCACATCATTGACGGAGTGACTCTGTGGAAGCTAACAGCATAGTCGCTCATACTGTCGATGCCCTGGAGTAACGAAAAAAAACAAATACGCTATAAGTCCAAAATCGGTTGGAAACGCACTGATTATAGAAATTATACTGTTCTCCCTGTGTGGGTTCTGGGACCAAGGTCATGGGAAAAGCAAGAATGGACCCACTGCCTACCTAACAAGTATGTCGTAAAAATGATCTCATTGGAAGCATCCTTCGAAGTCGGCGTGCAAATGCCAGAGAGGAAAGAAACCAATAGTCTGTATACAAATGAGTCAGCTATGTAAAATGGATGTGCATGCAACGCGCAGGTTCTAGAACAGGACTAGAATCAAGAAGTGGACAAACCACCAGAACTCTCAGTCGGAGTTTACAGCCGTTGAACACAAAGAAAAGGAAGGTCCTGCGCATCTTGTAAAATAAAACCAAAAAAACTGTCCTAGTTATCCGATGGTGCGTTTCATTAGTTGACGGGGAAAGCCTGCATGCCTAAAAGCTATCGATAACCCAGATGCAGAAGAAGTGTCAACTGATCGGTTGATCCCTACGTTTATGTTGTGTGCAGTGTCAACAGTTCTGCTTACTAAATTATAAAGATCTTAAATTACACAGTTATGACAAAATTATATTTTTTTCAGTATCTGTGCGGTTTGTTTTGTTTTGTTTACTGGTAGTAGGAGACGCGTTAGCGTAGTCGATAGGAGACTTGCTTTTAAATCCAGCAGCGACTCGCTGCAGCCCACGACCGGTGTTCAAAATCGGCCATGTTCGAAACCGGGCGGTTCCCGGGGTTCACCCAGCCTCTAGGAAATGGGAACCAGAGTTAACACTCTGGGGTAAATGGGGGAACGTCGCTGCAGATATTGAATTTCGTGCGGACGGCGACACCGGCGAACAGTTTCTTAACAGCTGGCTGTACTGGTGGCAGAGCACTTATGGTTTATAACCGTGTGCAATGACGCTTTTTCACATCTCCCGACTTTACCTTTTTTTTTTTAACCGGTAAAGCGCCATATTTGTTGCCATTAAAAAAAGTTTATAGAGTCTACATTCTGTCATAAGACGAATTCATTTCTCATGGTGCTGCAGGATGCCAGACTAGAAGAAGTAATTAGGAGTTTAAAGCAGAGGAAAATATGGTCATATTTACACACTAACTTATCATAGTTCACCTTGCAGTCGCCAAGGTCATTCTGTGGCAAAACGTGTGTAGAAAAGCCACTCTCAACATAGTGCACTAGTAAAGACTCGAACGTTCGCAAGTTACCGTGCCACATGCATTGGATGGGTGGGTCTGTCTGTCTGTTTGTATGTATGTCTGCCTGTCTGTTTGTATGTAGGTTTGTCTGTCTGTCTGTCTGTCTGTCTGCCTGTAGGTTTGTCTGTCTGTCTTCCTGTCTGTCTGTAGGTTTGTCTGTCTGTCTGCCTGTCTGTTTGTATGTAGGTTTGTCTGTCTGCCTGTCTGTCTGTTTGTATGTAGGTTTGTCTGTCTGCCTGTCTGTTTTTCTGTAATGTAATGTCTGTCTGTCTTTCTGTAATGTAATGTAATGTAATGTAATGTAATGTCTGTCTGTCTGTCGGTCTGTCTGTCTGTCTGTCTGTCTGTCTGTCTGTCTGTCTGTCTGTCTGTCTGTCTGTCTGTCTGTCTGTCTGTCTGTCTGTCTGTCTGTCTGTCTGTCTGTCGGTCTGTCTGTCTGTCGGTCTGTCTGTCTGTCGGTCTGTCTGTCTGTCTGTCGGCCTGTCGGCCTGTCGGCCTGTCGGTCTGTCGGTCTGTCGGCCTGTCGGTCTGTCTGTCTGTCGGTCTGTCTGTCTGTCGCTCTGTCTGTCGGTCTGTCGCTCTGTCTGTCTGTCTGTCTGTCTGTCTGTCTGTATGTCGGCCTGTCTGTCTGTATGTCGGCCTGTCTGTCTGTCGGTCGATCTGTCTGTCTGTCTGTCTGTCGGCCTGTCTGTCTGTCGGCCTGCCTGCCTGCCTGTCTGTCTGTCGGTCGGTCGGTCGGTCTGTCTGTCTGTCTGTCTGTCTGTCTGTCTGTCTGTCTGTCTGTCTGTCTGTCTGTCTGTCTGTCTGTCTGTCTGTCTGTCTGTCTGTCTGTCTGTCTGTCTGTCTGTCTGTCTGTCTGTCTGTCTGTCTGTCTGTCTGTCTGTCTGTCTGTCTGTCTGTCTGTCTGTCTGTCGGTCGGTCGGTCGGTCGGTCGGTCGGTCTGTCTGTCTGTCTGTCGGCCTGTCTGTCTGTCGGTCTGTCTGTCTGTCTGTCGGCTTGTCTGTCTGTCGGCCTGCCTGCCTGTCTGTCTGTCTGTCTGTCTGTCTGTCGGTCGGTCGGTCGGTCGGTCGGTCTGTCTGTCTGTCTGTCTGTCTGTCTGTCTGTCTGTCTGTCTGTCTGTCTGTCTGTCTGTCTGTCTGTCTGTCTGTCTGTCTGTCTGTCTGTCTGTCTGTCTGTCTGTCTGTCTGTCTGTCTGTCTGTCTGCCTGTCTGCCTGTCTGTCTGTCTGTCTGTCTGTCTGTTTGTCTGTCTGTCTGTTTGTCTGTCTGTGCCAGGCGCTGTTCTAAGTGTGAAAGAAGACGATTCCTGTGTGAGTGTGTGTGCATGTATATGTGTGTATGTTTTCGTATATGAAATATTGCCTTTTCTTTTGGAACCAGATGTCTTCAGTGTATACAAAGGTAAAAGATGCAATAACGCAACACATGGTACTGGGTGCACACGGTGCAGTCTTACCAAAGAACAGTAATGTGAGTAGTCTTGAGATCTCACCTTGTTATCTCCTCGATTATGATGATTATAAAACTTTGGATACGTTCCATGGATGTGAACTGACGGGACAAATGTATGGAACCTACTCCTGCCTTGTGAGTCTTTACTGTTGACGATTTGCACACCAAGACTTTCCAGACAATGTGCCATTTCCACGTCTTCGTAAGCGCCATCTTTTACACATTTAGAATTGTTTCCCCTGTGACGAAATCTTCGCAGGGATTCTTTGCTGAGGACATATCCGGCACCGCCACTTTATGGCGGCAAGTAGAGAGATTATTGGACATCTCATTTTAGCAGTGAATAGATGACTTCAAAAGTAATAATACAATGTATAAAGTGAAAACTTTATATCCCTAATAGCTAACATAGGAAAAAAAAATGTGTAAAATTTTCTCAAGGAGGCAAGAGCAAATACACACACACAAACACACACACCAACACACACACTCCAACGCACACACAAACACACACATATTCATACACACACACACAGTGATATATACATCATTTTTATCTCCTTGTACACCACAGTCCTTAAGAAAGAGAATAGGGGCTTTTGGGCTGAAATGCTATAGAAAGATTCTCAGAATATCTTGGACAAAAAACATCTTGAAAGATCTGAACATCAAGGAAGATTGGCTAATAAACAACATCCTGTCTCAGAAGCTGAAATATTTTGGTCATATCAAGCGCCACGACGGACTGGAAACAAATATCGCAGAAGGCATGTTACCAGGAAGGAGGGGCAGGGGCCGACCGAAACGAAGATGGGCACAGGATATAAGTGACACCTTGAGTGTGAAAGTACATGGGGCGGGAGAGCTGGTGAGAGACCGAGTTTTTTTCAGGCAGACTGTGATGAGAGCGACGTTCTGCAAAGGATCTGCTACATGATGATGATGATGATATTGACACATACGGCATTCACAATTGATCTCCAAAGCTGCCAGAAATGCTGGATTTAATTATACGATTAAAAAAAAAACTACAACTTAATTTGCAGGAGCTTTAATAAAATCTTTCTATTTTTCTTTCACACATGCATTTTCTTGTTATATCCATTGCTGTGCGCTATCTGAGTTACACTAATCAGCACGCTACCAAGTGTCTACAGATGTAACTTTCACTCCCTCACTCTTGAAGTAGGACTCGACGATAATAGTTCCGTCACATAGCATCTTTAATTGACAGAACACAAGAGGGTATACACAAGCCCTCACATCAACCAAACTGCAGAGACGTAGACATTGATCACAGTTGACATTCGCACATAGTTCATTTGTCCTCACTCGCTCTCTCAATTTGTAGCGACCTCTCCCTGACCACTACAGCTCCAGGGCCTACAGCGTCCCACCCCCTGGACACGCCGTACAGTTGAACAGGACGAATTCTCCCATCCACTGGACCTTAAGATTATTTCAGCAGACAACCACGGCTGACTAGAGACGGAATTTCATTGCCGTACTCCAAAAGCACACAGCTTTCTTTAGCTTGTCGAAGGGCTCCGATGATCGACAGGACTTCTACCATAAGTCCCCTCTAGCACACAGCTCTCTTCGGCATAACCCTCCTGTTCTGTTTCACTAGTGGTCCTCCTACGTTTCACTACGTCGCCACCCAGAACAGGTACTATTGGAGCATCCCGTCCCCTTGGACTTACTTCGCCAGCGGGACCATATCTTCGATCAGTACCGCAACCTCAACACTTACTCATACCTTAATGCCTTATAGTCGTACGGTATTCTTGTCTGTTATACTCGAGAAAGATAATCACTGACCCTGACTCAGTTTCTCTCTCTCTCTCTCTCTCTCTCTCTCTCTCTCTCTCTCTCTCTCTCTCTCTATCTCTCTCTCCTTTCGACTCTGTCTGCTCCGGACTGACTACTCAGACCCCAATTTATCCCCGTCGAACTCGAGTGGGTGGATGATGTTTACACGAGAGGCACGCTCGCATGGGCGTTCTCGGGAATCATGATCCTGTGGGTGTTCTCGAGACTCACGCTCATGTAAGCGTTCTCGAGGATCACGCTTATTTGGGTGGCTGATGTTACCTGAGAATCACGCTGTCACGTAATTCATACTTTCTCTGTTTATTTCGTTAGCCAAGCTTTCAGCCCCCACACAGAAGCTCACGCGTCTACTTTTTCGTGTGCGTGCACGCCTTGTGCGTGATAAATACATTTTCACTGGACAACATTCTCGCCCCCCTCCATAGTCGGGCCAATGTTGACATTAATTCCCCGTGAACTCACAGACAGTAGTCTCATACCACTCTGTCCCTTTAAACAATTTTACACCCTCAAATCAGCACGCAACATCCATTTTAAACTGTCGCCCATAAAATGTATGCTCTTATTAAAATTATTGTTGGTGTATTACTTGAGGCTTTTAATTATTCTAACTGGTTGTGGCATATTTAAACTGAATTAAAAAAAATCAGCTTGCTATAGTCAACATGCACCTGTGAATAACGTGGTCACTCTTAGTGTAGCCTAAGCTGTAAGGTAAATGTATATTACGTGACCTTTGTCGTTGCCGTATAACATTTCCAGGATATCTGAAAGTTATTATCGTACTCCCGATCACCATGTTTAATGCCGGGGTGGCGAACATCTAAAGTTCCTTTAACAATAGATAATTAGTTAGAAGTTAGTTAGTTAGATTATCATCACTGCACTCCGGACATGTCCATAGGTGCTCAGATCATCCCCTTAGTATGAACCACAACGTCCGATTACTAGTAGTACCAGTTCTATGTTGATTAACAAGTCGTTTTTTTTATATGTCGATCTTAATTCCTAAGTCTGCCATTCTGGCGATTGTTGTGGATTCACTGCCCCCTAAGTACTCTATCCTTCCCATTTTTTTAGGGCATTAATAATATCAGCATAATCCATAGGCTGACCGTCGGTAGTGATAGCGGATCCAGTCAACCTATCAGCTTTTTCATTTCCATCGACGCCTGCGTGTCCCGGAATAATATTTAAGGTGACGCCACGCACAGTGGACTTCAATCCTTACGTCATTGTTAGGACGAAATGTTTTGTTCTTTGAAGCCCTACCCTGGCTTTTGCCAGGGGCCACAAAATAGACAGGCCATAAATGTGGCCAATTGTCTGAAAGCGGTTTCTGGGACCTCTCCACTGTGATCCTTATCCACATGGTGGCACTTTGTGTCATCGTGTGTTTATCGCTTGTGTGATGTCCTGGTGGGGTAGAAAGTCAGTCAGTCACAGTGGACATCTGAAATGATTCAAGCCATTGTCTTCACACTGAACCTGCCTGAATCCTCCGGATCATACTCAGTGAATAACTGAGTATACATACGCGGGTGTAGTTTTGTGTTTCGAGCCAGGCAAACGCTTGCGTTACTGCCGTCACCTCCATCGTCAAGCTGCTGGTTGTCATGGAGAAGGCGCCGTTGGCTTCTTTGACTGCTCTGCCTGCTGAGCGTGCTGTGAAGCCCATGCGCTACTTTTTTTTTGGCGTACAACGGATCCGTCCATGTAGATTAGTGCATCTGCTTCGTCTGAATTTTCACTGATGAGAGCGTTGACCTCTGCATTAACAGCAACAGGATTCTCTTCTCTACGTCGCCTGTTGAGTGTGGCAATACAGGAAAATGTACAAAACAAACGCATGAAGCACAGGTATCCACTCTGCACCAGGGGCAATGTCGTTTAGGCTGCATACTTGCCTAAAAACATCTTCTGCCCGATCTTGCCATGATTTTTTTCCTCTTCAGCATGTCGCCTTTTTCACTAAAAAGCGCTTGATGCAGTGGGTGTTTCTTATCAGCACATATTTTAAGGTATGCCCGAGCACTTCAGATCCTGATCTTTTGGTTCATAGTTGGAAAGTCAAGTAGATACCTCATCGTTCCACAGGATGTGTCTCTTAACAATAGATGAACACACATGCAAGCCATTTTCTCGAAAACTGCCTATTATATTGCAATGTTTTTTTTTTTTTTTGCATGCAGCCCCAGAATATCCCTGACGTTAAGGAAATATTGGTTTCACTAATGAAGAATACCACGTGTAGTTTTTTTTCTTTCCTTCTTCACGATAGATATTTTCATCATGAAACCGTCTTAGTAGACTTTTGGAAGGTTTACTTTCATTAGTTTCAGGAATTAATGCACACTATCACTGGTTTAACAGTGGGTCACAGAAAAACCTACGCACTTTCATGATTTTCTCGTGCAAAGTTTCACTGTTAATGACCGCAAGTCAAAATAAGATGTCGGTCAAGGTTGTAGTCAAAGGCGCATCTATAAATTAGTTTTGAGTTATTGTGTCACATAGCTAGTTTATAAAAGCTGACATAAACATCAACTTCAAAATGAATTTGAGATGCAAATTTATAACTATACAAAGGGTTACCGTTTTACTGTACCAGTACATCATCAGGGAATCTAAGATGGGTCATTTGTATGGTGATTTTCATTAGACAGGACACAAAGTTCGTTCATGTCAAGCAAGGATGGAAAGGAAAGTTGACGACTTTGATGTAGATGCCATTAGCCGTGACATCTTAAAAATGTTAGAGACAAATCAACTTGTTTTTCTCCGAAAACTGAAATCCTTATTAAAAGCACAATACAGTATTGACATTTCAAGAAGTAGTCTGTGGGAAATTGTAAGAGCCACCAGGTTTACTTTCCGGAAAACTGTAGGTGGAAAGAATATTATTTGTGAAAAGCCACGTTTGATTTCTTGTTGAACCAAATACCAGAGGCAGATCCAACGATATCAAATACAAAAGATCAAATTACGACATGGCTTGCTAAGGAGAAAGTCAACTGTGACAACACATATTTGAAGGCAGAGTTGTTGCAGCTTGTGAGGAAAACAAATAAGACAAAGATGTATCACACTGACGAAATCAATAATGAATAAGTCCACACTTTTCTGCGACTCCCTAAAGTAGATAATGCTTCTCTTTCATTATTCGCCTCTCAGTTTATTCTTGCTTTCATGTGATTTTTGTTATGTATGGTTAGTTGGTCGGCTCTGTGGCTAAGTCGATGCGAACGCTTCGTAATGCCGGGATGCCGGGTTCGATCCCAGCTGCGGGCCATTCGCCTTGCGTTGATTTCGACAGTGGTATCAGCCGGCCGACCGTCCAGTAAGCAATGGCAAACTACTGGATGTAAATTTGCCTTGAGAAACCATACAACAGCCAGGGGCTGCTGGGGTTGGTTCTGCAACGTCCTGTAAAGGATTAGCAACTAACCTTTTTTATGGTTAGTTGCGCATCCTGTACCTTAAAAGCCCCTGGCTGTTGTATGGTTTTTCTAGGCAAATTTACGTCTAGTAGTTTGCCATTGCTTACTGGACGGTCGGCTTTCTTGATACCACTGTCGAAACTAACGCAAGGCGCATGGCCTGCAGCTGGGATCGAACCCGGCATCCCCGCATTACGAAGCTTTCGCATCGACTTAGCCACAAAGCCGACTTTGTCATGTATAGCATTACTATATATTGTGTAATGTCTGTTTTGTTGGAATCTCTTCAATTAGCCATGACTTTTATCTTTCTTTTGAACATCTATCTCATTCCTAAGTAAGCCATAACTAACAGCCTTACTCCTGATATTCTTGTCCGTCATAAAGTACAAAGTGCTGGCCAAAGGACACAGGTTGGCTAAAGTTCTGGCTTGACAAGAAATAGCGCAGATTCTCCATGATCACATATGTGTCGTCATCAGCCTGAAGACGAAGTAAAGTTATTAAATAATGTATCTCTATGAGTCACAGTACCTGTTAAATTATTAATTAAATAATGGTATATGTCACAGGCAGAGGTTTGTGGGCTGTATCTAGAAATACATTGCACCCCCTCCCTCCCATAAATAAGCTCAGTTGGTATCTATTCGTCAGAAGAACACTTCCATCGACCCATAGAGCACATCATTTCGGTTCTTCCAAGTACTCTCGCATTAGATATAAACATGGCCATTTGTGATCAACCCTGGTTAGAAAGCGATAACCCTTTATATCGCTTCGCAACAAAATATTATTACGTATATCTTTATTGTTGTAAATATCATTCAACCGTTTAGTTAATATGTTAACTCCAAATTCTATGAGAACTTCTATTTCCTCTATTGTAACGAAAACTTTTTGTTTGCCATTTGCTTTTAAAAAAATTTAATAAATGCATATTTTTGAGAGACTCTCGTAAGTTAGCTATTCATTTCCTTGATATTCGCAATACGGATCTGAAAAAAAAAAGGTTCACCTTAACTCAATAGTTCTGACAATCAAGGGGAAAGCGACACTTCGACAAACTAGCCGTATTCAATGGAAAAATCACTTCATTCACGGTTTTGCGTTTTCAGTTTTGCATGGAACAATATTGCGAACATACTTAAACAAAAATTTTAAAACACATTTTTTAAGTTTTTGCAAATCCGCCCCCATCTTTCCACCCCTCCCCCATCCATATTTATTTTGTTTTGTTCCGTAATACAGTCTTTCATATTCATCTTTACTCCCCTTATGTATTAATCCATATTACGCGTTTTAATTTTATGTCGACCTTAATTTCTGGTCGACCTTGACAGTTATAAGCTCTGTTGCCTAGTCCGTTGTTTCACAGTTACAATATATGTTGTTTTAGTATCCCACGAATAAAGACTGGAATCCACAGGCGAGTAGAAATAAAAGCAGATGAAAAAACATAAGAAAGGGAGCTAGAGAGTTAAGTTAAAAAGATGAGGAGGCGGGGGTGGGGGGGGGGGGTGGGGGGGGGGAAGGGGGAGATGCATGCATTAGCAAAGGATAGAACGACCTGGCGTGAGTTAGTTGAGAGCCTATGCTCAGTCTGGGGATAGAAGAATTATCCTCCATCAGTATCAGTCTTGCAGGGATTTGAGTGCAGTTGTGCTTTTTCTCAATTACACGACAATTACACTACAAGTGTGACACATGCCCTGCGAGTTGTAGATGATGTGATATAGAGGAATTTGTCATTTTCTTCTCCTTTCATCACAATTATCATTATTTTCTTTCCTCTTCCGCATCATCATCATCATGATTATCATCATCATCATCATCATCGTCATCACCATCATTATTAAATCGTCATCAGCACATTTTTCTTCGAGGAATAAAAAGCTATGTGTTATGTAATACAGTAGCACAGAAACAAGTCAGGGCTATTAAAGACACCAGTGCTACGTTGTAATACAGTAGCATAGAAAAAGTCAGGGCTATTAAAGACACCAGTGCTACGTACCGTTGCGTATCGTTTCCTCTTCTTCCTCTTCTTCTTCCTCTTTTTTTTTCTTCTTCTTTTTGTCTTCATCTGCTCTTTTTCATCTTTATCATTGATATTTATTCAGTCACTGTTGGCTCTATGGCTTATTCGATGCGAACGCTTCGTAATGCCGGGGTGCCGGGTTCGATCCCAGCTGCGGGCCATGTGCCTTCCGTTGGTTTCGACAGAGGTATCAGGAGGCCGACCGTCCAGAGGCAATGGCAAACTACTGGACGTAAATTTGCCTAAAGAAACTACACAACAGCCAGGGGCTGCCACTTCCTGTATAGGATACGCAGCTAACCTTTTAACCTTTCAATAAAGGTGGCTAGATACACGCACCAACAACCAATCAGTCACTTCTTGTCTTGATATTAATTTTCTGTTACCGCTGTTTTTTTGCCCCCCCCCCCCCCCCACCCTTGTGTTATCCTCCCTTTAACGTTTCAACCTTCATACAACAGTGGGGGAATTGTCTTAGGGCGAAAATACAATAATCCGATGTTATGACTGACAATAATATGTAAATCTCACCTTCATAAACCAGTCAAAATCGTTGAAATAGTGATCGTACATATAATCGAAACCTCCCATTGTCTTGGGAGTGAGATGGTTCATACCTTCAGGTACATTGAGACGAACGGTTGGAAATTTCTTATTCTCTCCAGTGCTTTGGATGAAACAAATAGGTAGCATTTGTGAGAATATAATTCACGCGAAGGCGTTAGTAATTATATGTTGCATTAACAAAAACTTATTAAGTTTTCAGGTATGTGTTGTTCACACATCAGCTGAGTCATTTTGGGAACATGCTATTAGTTTCATGTTTTGGAAGTGTAAGTCTTATCTACGTAACGTTTTCGCGCAAAAAGTTCATACAGCCTTCCTTTCTAAAGAAGCTTCTGCTGTGCATTTAATGAGACTTCATTAATTCATCATTTTGTTTTACCGTTTACACGACACAGCGTGCGAAGTCAAATCTTCTACCCTGTGCAGTTTTTTCAAAACCACGAATGGAATCCATCCTATAGCCTTTGACTTTTAGTCGAAAGGCTTCTCTCGTACTTTTTTTAAAATTTCCTCACTAAATTCTTTCTATCCAAATGAATGCTTGCTCGGCGTGGCTGAAGAGTAGCGACACGAGTGCCTGATCAGCGGGAAAACACAACCATGTCCTGGTAGTTTTTACTTTGAACGAACCAAACTACCGAATATGAATGTCCGGGTTCCTACATAGAATTCCTCCCTGGACATGAGAAAGAAGCACCTAATGTCCATAACTAATCACTGAGAGGATCAAGTGCTCTTAAAGTGTGAAAAGCAATGTCTGCTCCTTGTCCATTGCAGCCATAGTCTTAAGTGCACTGAGTCTCTTTTGTAATCTTGTCACAACCGCCTCTACCTGGTCCTTGAAGGAACGGCTTTAGTCAAATCTGATACCCAGATACTTTAGTTTGCTCTCTCTGTTGACTTTTCTATCATCCATCGTGAGACCTAGGACCTTAGCTCTATCAATCCTGTTGTCTACAGAGCACCACAAACCAGACGCCTTTTCTTAGTGGACGACAGCTTTAATTTATGTAAACCACTCAGTCAATTTGTCTGCTAACGCCTCGAGCTAGGGCCCGTTTGTTCCCAATTATCCCATGCATATATGCGAGGTTATCATCTGCAAATGTCAGTATCCTTCTAGCTCCTTGTGCTTCTAGGCTTGCAGTCTTGTTTATATACACGTTAAAATGCACATTTGAGATTGCAGATCCACGAGGCAGTCCAGGAGCTATAATACGTGGCTCTTAGGTCCACGAACTCAGACAGAGAGCAACCCGACTAGAACACATGACAACTGCAATCCAGTTGAGCAACCAGGGACTGACTCTCTACTATATGAGTGCGGTCATCACAATATCATATCTTACCTAATTATACACATCCTCAAGATCAAGCGCTGCCGCCATAGTTTCCTGTTTTTTTTTCTTGAAGCCTTTATAAACATTTGAGGCAACATTGCCGCATCGAAATTTATGTAGAAAAGTAAGCACAGAAGAGAATACGCTTAGTACTGTGACATGCTTGTTGAACGAATAATTATAATAAGATTCACTCGGGTGAACTGTCCAAACTGTAACTTTTTTGAAATATGTCCTTAGTAGTTTTGACGACCTTCCTGCCAAACTGTTTTTTATTCTAGGCTGCTTTGTTTATGCCCCCCCCCCCCCACCAGCCTTTTTCAAGTTATGACAGTCATTGTTGTACGATGAAACTCTTTACTATTACAAAAATACCAAACTTCATTGTTTTGTATACCTGAAATATATAATTTCGCTGCAATGCTTTGCCCAAGTGTCTTTAACTGCCTGGGCTCTGGTTTCAATATTCTTGAGGGCAGTCATGATAGCGACAAGGACACGAACTTGTTCACGAAGTTTATCAGCAGTAGAATTATCATCTGAAAATTTTTTTTAAACAGACAATAATTTCGATTATATGTCCTATGATTACTGAGGTCAATGCTCGCATTAATCAGAGTGAAAATACGATGAGAATTTTCTCTCGACCAGTTTACCGAATCTCGATCTTCCAAAAGACTGTCCTGCAGATTCTCAAAAATATCGCAGCCATGCTTTAACAGGCACAACACAGCTAGAAGAAGACGAATATGTGAGTATTATGGGGAACACACACACCACAAAGCCATGCAAAATACGTGAAGTCAAATGATCAAATCAAACCGGTCATTGACCAGTTATTCTACTTGACGGTCCACATAACTAGAATGTGGCAATGCTCATGTGGTTTAAAAATAGTAGCATTAGTGATAATATTCTTAGAAGTTGGCAGAGCTTTTCTTTCCCAGAGCACAAAAGTATTCAACACACAATATCTTTAAAAAATACAGATCTCACAATGCAGTGAGGGCACAAAAGTATTCAACAAACAATATCTTAAAAATGTACAGATCTCACAATACAGTGAGAGCACAAAAGTATTCAACACACAGTATCTTTAAAAAGTACAGATCTCACAATACAGTGAGAGTACAAAAGTATTCAACACATAATATCTTTAAAAGGTACATATCTCACAATACAGTGAGAGTACAAAAGTATTCAACACACAGTATCTTTAAAAAGTACAGATCTCACAATACAGTGAGAGTACAAAAGTATTCAACACATAATATCTTTAAAAGGTACATATCTCACAATACAGTGAGAGTACAAAAGTATTCAACACACAATATCTTTAAAAGGTACAGATCTCACAATACAGTGAGAGCACAAAAGTATTCAACACACAGTATCTTTAAAAAGTACAGATCTCACAATACAGTGAGAGTACAAAAGTATTCAACACATAATATCTTTAAAAGGTACATATCTCACAATACAGTGAGAGTACAAAAGTATTCAACACACAATATCTTTAAAAAGTACAGATCTCACAATACAGTGAGAGCACAGAAGTATTCAACACACAATATCTTTAAAAACTACAGATCTCACAGTACAGCGAGAGCACAAAAGTATTCAACACACAATATCTTTAAAAGGTACAGATCTCACAATACAACGAGAGCACAAAAGTATTCAACACACAATATCTTTAAAAAGTACAGATCTCACAATACAGCGAGAGCACAAAAGTATTCAACACACAATATCTTTAAAAAGTACAGATCTCACAATACAGTGCTTCACGCCGTTCTGAAAAATAATGTCTTTAAAAAGTGCCAGTACTGCGTACTGATGCGCACTGCTAAAGCACGCACACCCTAGAAGTAAGAGAGTGATAGAATTGATAGTTTGGGTTGCAGTAGATAGGGGTATACGCCTATGTCACCGTTTCCGTTTGTTATTCTTTGCAGCTTGTTGTGTTCGGAGCTAATCTGTTTCCATGGACGTCCGGTGTTCACAAGAATGAGAAACCACATACAAATAGTAAACATTAGCACGATTTGGTGTTGCAACTTCGTAAACTTACATCATAATGAGAGGTAAAATTAAAGATCGTAAAGTGGGGAAAAAACTCGGTCAGGGCTCTTAAATCTTCTTCTTCGATCCTTCTGTGTGACGAGCTGGTCTGGACAGCTGTTTCTGTCCTTTTAAAAAGTGCTTTGTTTAGATAATATTATTACCAAAGTTCTAAACATTTTCCTATTGCTTTTAATTAGCATAATAACACTGGATTAATTAAGAAATTTCCTTAACTTTTTCTTAATGCTTTACTGTAGCAAAATTATAATTAAAGAGTTGAAAGGTAATAAAGGCGAAGGGGTAACAAAGAGTAACTTCCCCCTTGGTAGGACTCCCCGTCTGCCATTTTTCATTCCAGGCTAGATTGGGGGAGTCAAGATTTTGTTCTCCCCAATCGACACAGTTCAGTTAGTTCTGTGGTCTTGTTGTCTGAGTTTGAATTCCCTGCCAGGGGTGAGTTAAAAGAATAAGTTTAATTTGATGTATTGCTGCTTATTCCTCTGAATTAATTCCACAGGTTAAATTCTGGAATTTAATGCCCACATGGCTCAACAACTATGATAAATTTCTTTATCCTCACTAACCACGTTTATGATCTAGTATGTACATGTATGCAAACATATTATCGATTTGATGATTGAATTAATGTTTATTTGCTACTAGAAACGTGCATTGGTATTTTCAATTATTATACTTATTAATTAAGTGATAATTATGTCCTCATGTGAAATCTCGGCCAGTTCCGGTTTCCAGCATGGTGGGACAATTAAAAAGGAATGNATGTCAGAAAGCCGGTAGTCTTTATGAAAGCTATCGTTCAGTTCATATCTTCTTGTGTACCATACAGTTTTGTCTTCAATGTGGTTGGAACAGGCCAGATTAAATCTCTATTGTCAGCATATAGTTGACATTGTTGGAGCACATGCTCAGTGTAATGTTTGTCTTTTCCCACAGGGATTGTCTAAACAATAATTTAAGAGGAAACATGAGATAAGAGAAATTCACATACGATTGTGAATACTCGTAGAAACACGAGATATACAAAGAGGGATCAAACCAGCACGTGAAGCCCAGAACGAGGGTTATAAGGTTAGACCAAGGTCTAATCAGTTAGTATGTGTTCAGCAGCTGGCGTGAAAGGTCGTATTTGATGGAGGAGTGAATGTGACATTGTATAATTAAAGACGTGAGGGAGATTCTATTCTATGAGAGGACAGCCAGACGACAACTTGATGACAGCCTAACCAGAAGTGGTAGCCGACGAGTTCCAACCGGCCAAGGTGTCTAACCACCGTGATCAGTGATGCTGGATCAACCTCTGCGTGTCTAGCGTGTGAAAGGAAACATGACTGAAAGTTTACGAGTGTGGATGGGAGTAGACGTCGATTATGTACTTGATAAATATCATCATATCTTGCTGGACCTGCTAGCCAATAGTAGACATTGACTGTACCAGATCGCCTGTCAAAGTTTGATAAGGAATATAACCGGATATCGTCTACTCGTTACCAGCTGTGTGCATTCAGAATGTAATCTATGTTTAATACACGAGAAAACCCTAGCAACCAGTCAACACACCAAGGAGACAATATTCCACTCTGCATTTTGGGATGTCAAGTTGCAAGGGCACGTCTCCGTGTTTCCTACACCGAAAAGTTTGCACATATAGTGACGGAGTCTGTTGTGCACTGTCATAAATCTGAATAGGCTCTACTGGCAAATCCGGACGAAGAATAAACAGCCTTGGACGACTTAGTCAGAGTTCTCTCCCTTGGCCGCACTCCAAACAGTGATCGGAAAACGAACGAAACAAACGACACACTTACCTATCATCCTGCGGTTGCGTGTAGGGCTGCGTACGGTTGCGTGAGGCATTGTGAATGGTTGTGTAGTCATCATCATGCGGTTGTTGGATTAGATTTAGGGGTAGGGTTAGGGTTAGAGGTAGGTTTAGGGTTAGAGTTAGGATTAGGGTTAGGGGCAGGGGTAGGGTTAGGGTTAGGGTTAGGGGTAGGGTTAGATGTTAAAATTTTGACGTAGGGTTTCGAAATAGTGGCCGACAATCTGATGTTTGTGGGCGTGGCGCCACTGAAATTCTGCTAAATATGACACTAATAGTGTGCGGCTGGTGCCCAATCTTTGGCGAATGGCGCGTCGGAAGAACGATGTTAGTTATGTGAGTTCGTCTAACTGCCATGTTGCTTGTGTCGTTTGTTTCGTTGTGGCTTTTCCGATCACTGTTTGGAGTGCGGCCACGGGAGAGAACTCTAACTAAATCGTCCAAGGCTGTTTATTCTTCGTCCGGATTTGCCAGTAGAGCCCTTGAAAGGTTAAAAGGTTAGTTGCGTATCCTTTACACGACGTTGCAGAACCAACCCCAACAGCCCCTGGCTGTTGTGTGGTTTTTCTAGGCAAATTTACGTCCAGTAGTTTGCCATTGCTTTCTGAACGGTTGGCTTTCTTGATACCACTGTCGAAACCAACGCAGGGCGCATGGCCCGCAGCTGGGATCGAAAGCGGCATCCCGGCATTACGAAGCGTTCGCATCGACTTAGCCACAGAGCCGACTTTCTTGACAGTTGACTATAGAAAAACTATCGCTGTTTCCATACTCGCGAACCGTCGCGCCATGTAGCAGAACGTAACAATAATCGCACAAGTGAGCGGTTACAATAAAAACGTGTTTCCAGCTATAACAGTCAGGAAAACAAAAACAGTGCTGCCAATTTGTGCGATGAGTGATCTCCGTTGTGCTTTGACCAACATCAGAATAAAACGGCAGCAGATACCATCAAGACGAAGCAGTGACAATCATCCTATTGATATTTGGACACTAAATTACCAGTTGTCGGTGACTGTTTAAAAAAAAAAAATTTAATTGATACCGTGAATTATACCGTGTTTTCTACAAGTTCTTGTTAACAGTCCTTGGGATTTTTCTTTTTGTCCTCCTCTTTTTAATCAAATTTTGTTATATATAGCAGTTGGGCAGGGGCGAGGGTGGGTGATTTTCCGCCATATACTCAACGAGTGGGCCACCTGAAAAAGGTGATAGACCACTGTGCTAGGTCAACCCAAAGTAAAAAAGGATCCAGAGAATGTAGTTTAGTCAAGTAAATATGCATCTGGCTGAATGTCATACATGTGTAAAAACCAGGTCATATATTTAAAAAAAGTGAAATCTATTTTATATTACTTGTAATATCTACATTACCACTGAAAGCATTGCTGTCCTCGGTGCGACGAAAGCTTGCTGCTGGACCATGGTTACAACCGTTCTCCAGATTGCTATGTCGTGTCGTCGTCCACTGAATGAACTGATTTCCATAATAACTGTTACAAGTCAGAGCAATGAAGGTAAGCACGACTCCAATACTGAAACCTTTCACGAATTGCCGTCGATTATTGGCTACCATTGTCATCTCAGTTGCGATTACAGAAAATTAGACGTTTGTTAACTGTTTGATATTTCTATATATTTATTTCTACACACACACACATACACACACGAGCGAAAGTCATAAAGTAAAAGCTGCTGTATTCTGGTCTGCATGGAATAGTATGCAGAAGAAAACATTATTTCAGGACACAAAATGATCTCTTTGCAATACCTAAAGTATGCGTCGTGACGATTCACGTTAAACAGAAGCCTCCAGCAAAGTTGTAAAGCAGCCAAGTATCAGCAAGGCCGAAAAATTTACATCCACAGACAATATAACGAAGACGGTCGACAGTAACACAACCACCAAAGCCGAAATCACAGCCCCAGAAGCAGGAACAAAAATTAATGATGAAATCCTTGAGAGCATGGATGCCAATTTAAAAAAAAAAAAACTGCTCCAAAGCGCGAACAAAAAGATTTTCCCACACAGACTGAAGGCGTCATCACTCTCAGTGCACCTTTACAACGGCCAGAAAAGGGTGGCAGAAGAGTTCAAAATGCCAAGAGCTGAACACATAAATGCGCGTGTTACTAGACACAAACTATTCGAAGAACTGAAAGAAATCTTAGCCAAAATAGTGAAAAGGAGAGAAGAGGTACTGAGACTAGCAACAACAACCGAGGATAAAGCAGAGAAGGAAGAGGAGATTAGCACACCACCAAGCCACAAGTAGTACAAGCGAGGCAAACGGGGACGCCTCCAGTACTAGAAGTCGCACTGTCCCTCCCATGGACAGCCAGCACCACCCTATCTGAGCCCCACCTACCTGCTCCAGTCCCATAGGCGACCAACTACACAAATGCCACTGAGCTAACCAAAAAAATTAACTTAGTATATTTTCAGGAATAAGAAGACAACGGAAACTACCACAGGTCAGCGGACGCTCAGAAGCAGATAGCCGAGAGCATTGCACCTAATGGAACTAGCACTTGGAAATTCCAGTCTCTCTCATGCCACCCCACCCCACACCACATGTATTTTAACAAATGCCTTTCACTTTTATTTCAGACCATGGGACCTCAACCCACCAGGAGTGGAACCTATATCTCTCAATCTATCTGTCGCTCTCATTCTTCCTACCTAACTATCACATCTCGGGTTGATCACAACAACAGATTGTGACGGCCCTGGTTGTCATGAAAAGGAGCATTGTTTGAGACCTTGTGACCCGGTGTTTGTTTGGCTTTTCTCGGCTGTTTTACAGAATGTCAACCAAACAGCAACAGGGCACCAGCACAGCGATCAGCATGAGGCAAACCAAGCACCAGCAACAGTCAGCTAGTACCCGTCGATATCATCACAAAGAGAACTGGACCACATCAGACCCAAAGACCACAAGCAACACACAGCAGCAAGGAAGCAAAGAACCAGAATATCAGGTGTGACTACACACCACAAATAAAAGGAACCTTCCTTCATATAGCAGGCCTACGGGCGGCTGAAAAAGGATCAAATTTGGAATTTTTGTTGGACGAATTGGAATTGGGAATTGGATTCGTTTTGTGTGTGTGTGTGTGTGTGTGTGTGTGTGTGTGTGCGCGCGCGTGTGTGTGTGTGTGTGTGTGTGTGTGTGTGTGTGTGCGTGCGTGTGCGTGTGCGTGTGTGTGGGAAGAGGGCGTTAACCGATGGAGTATATCGAAGAATGATAGTTCATAACGGAGACAGCTGTTGTCAGAAAAAAGTTTATGAATGGATGGACAGATTTGAAAACGTAAGGGGTAAAGTCAGTGAGGACAAGCGGAGTGGGAGACCTGTTGGCGTGGCAACTGAGACAGTAAAGCACCAGACAGAGCAGCGTATCCACGACAACAGACTAGTCCCTATTGGTGAAACTGGGGTAGAAATTCACATGTAGCATACACAATTGTTAATGACGACTATCGGTAATGGAAAGTTTGTAGCAGATGGATTCCAAGGCAGCTGCCAGATGAACATAAGAACAAAAGGCAGACAATTTGTCAGGAGCATTTGGATGGTCATGCCAGCAAAGGAGATACTCATCTCCATCGAACTGTAACAGGTGATGGGTCCAGGATGCCGCATTATCAGAGAGTAAGTGACCACTAACGTATTTGAAGCTCCCAGTGTTATCGCCACGGAAGAAAAATTCAAGGAAAAGACTTCAGCTGGGAAAGTCATGCAAACCGTCTTTTGGAATGTCAGTGGGCCTATACTGGTGCCTTTCCAGGAAAGTGCTGAAAATGTGACTAGTGCTCGTTACAGTGACACGTTAGCGAACAAGTTGAAGCAGGGATCTAATCGAAAAAAAAAAAGAATTTTATTTTTGAATGGTAACTCACCCACCCTCCCACTTTCTCTCCCCCCCCCCCACCCCCCACATTTGCGCATAAGGGGGATACACTACAAACAAACTCTGCGGTTGGAAGCAATGAAATATTTAGATTACAGCACAGACTTGGCAAAATCGGACTTTCATCTGTTCAGCCTATTGAAACAACATTTGTGGTGTCAGAGATTTGCAGATGAAAATGAGGTCATTTCGGTGGTGTAAACATGGTTACCGGCCACCCCCAAATGCTTCTACCTGGCGGGCACCCATAATCTTGTTGATCGTTGGACTACATGGATTGCAAGATAGGGAGACTATGTACAGAAATATGACGCAAAACCATTTTGTTCTAGCACTTTGTATTAAAAAAAAAATTATGAAATATTAATGCAGTTGCCTTTACTCGGTGCCTTATTCAATGGCGTGTGTCTGAGTCTGCGTGTGTCCTAACGAAGCACATAGATCTAGATACAATCCATTTGGGTCATCGTAACAATTTTACTGGTAAACCTAACAGTACAGTCCGTGGGTTAACCCATCAAACGGGTTTGTACTAACCCACTAATCTCTTGCCCATCGAGCCTGAGCGGGTTCAGTCAGGAAAGCCATAATGAGTCCGGTCCCGAGTATTAAGTTATATTCAGTATCTGAGTGATTAAAAAAAAAAAAAAAAAACTCATTTACTGAAATCACAGTTCTAAAATTGACGTAGGTAGGTAGGTAGGTAGGCAGGCAGGCAGGCAGGCAGGCAGGCAGGCAGGCAGGCATATATATTAGGGCTTTACCGAATAGCGGGACGAACTATTCGGGCGAATAAGAATACGAAAAGTGAATAGTGTATAAAATATATCTAAAAAAAAAAACAAAAAACCAACACACTCATAATGTCAAATGTACGCTGAACTTTTGCTTCATATAAAGTAGCTCAAAATAGTCATCTTCTTCTTTAGCATTCTGAGCTGTTGGGGATTACTGTTGCAGATATCCCCCGTCTCCATTCATCTCTCTGGCTGGCCTTATCTTCACAATTTGTGACACCAGCTGTTTGCAGGTCTGGCTGGACATTATCTCTCGAACTTCTTTCTTGTCTGCCTCGTGGTCTATGCCCATTAATCGTGATTTGAACAGACTATGTGTTAGGTTGTTGCTTCTCACTCTCTGTTACCCAATGTTAGCATCTTTGATAGGTCCAAAGATTTGTCCTAATCCTGTTTTCAAAAACCCGTAACAAGGCCCCATCTCTTTTATTTCTGTTTTTAGTTTCAAAGCCATATAAAACGACTAGTTTTATCCACGTTTTATATATTTTGATCTTGGTGCTGCGAGACAGACACTTGGACTTTAGATGTTGAGGGCATAGTATACTTTATTTCTAGATTGTATTCTAGATTGTATTTCTTCTCTCAGCATGTTGGAGCAGTTGAAGCTTGCACCCAAGTACTTATATGTTTCCGATCGTTTGATTTTCATATTATCTACTTGGATGTGGCCTGAGTTTAATTTTTTTTTCCATGTCTAGTTAGTATTCGTACAGAATAGTAAACATTTTAAAACATTTTATTTTTTGCATCCTTCAGTCAGTCCGCGGTAACTAATAACTAGGAATGAAAGAATCCTAAGTATTAGAACAAGTAACTTAACTTGGAAATTGTCACTGACAGCTTAGTAAATACAGGAAAGCTGCATTAGCTTTCAACAAAACCAATCGTTTCATGTTGTCGGCATTAAGGCCGTGTATGCAGAGCGGATGTAAGGAAAGTACTATTCGTATTCGGCCCGACTGCAACTATTCGGCCGAATACCGAATAGTTAATAGGTCCACTATTCGGCCCCGAAGCGAACACGAAGCGAATATTCGGTACAGACCTAATATATATATATATATATATATATATATATATATATATATATATATATATATATATATATATATATATATATATATATATATATACGTGTGTGTTTGTGTGTAAAAAAAGACCCTCTGTAAGTTGACCACTCAATGGACTGTAGCAAACGGTCAGTTTATTGCAGAGGTGGTCAGCGAAGCCTATTATACTGATTCTAAACTTTCTGAAACAATTTATTTTTTAAAATTTAATAATCCAAGGAAATGAGATATAATCACAAAATTAGCATATGTGTTTATCATGGTGAATTAAAAAAAAAAATGGAGTCAGTCTTGTTCTGTGTCTCACTCTTGTTATAAATGTAACTCTCGAGACTTACTACGACACTGAGTCTACCTGGATATTTTCCAACAGAAAGTGTCTTCTGCTGCATTATTGCATGCTTGACAGCCTCCTCTTTTTAAGTCTCTTTTATGTTGTAGCTGTTTGCATCTTTAGCTTCACTAGCTGCTTCACGCTCTGTTGCTGTTCTGTATTTTCTGTCAATGTCACTGGAGAAAACTCCTTATGGACCTTTTGCCACCTCATCATCCATTGTAACGCTTACGTTTGTCACTCTTTATGACAAGGCTTCTGTGAGACGCCGCCTCAAAGAAAATCTCGCACCGGTCAGTTTTAGAGACGGCGTCGTCTCTGAAGCCTCTGGTTACGTAAGGAAACATTTTGATAAGCTCTTGCACAAATTCTGCTGGAACCTTATTGTATTCCTACACATCACTTTTTATGAGGTCGCAGGACACAATTAAAATGTCTCGAGACATACACTTGATGCTTGCAAATCAACAGCTACGCCGAATTTATGGGCAACTTGACTCGCCGACAAGGAGATTCAAGTGTTAGCTATCCTAATTTGTTCGAGCCAACTTAATGGTGACCCAATGATTTCATAGAAGGGAGTTTCCACTTGCTTTTTTTCTGTCGATCTCTACTTACCTTACCACATCTCTCGAAGTACTCACTCATGTTTCTGTTGTTTGATGTTGCGAACTGTGGTTATTCTAATCATAAACTATTCTGCTACTTTCCAGAAAATGTAGAAGATCCCCCGCTGTCTTAAATGTTAACTCAGATTTTTTTTTATATTCTAGGATTATCCTGTCTCGACTAATTGATGTTAACAATGACACGTGTGGCTGTACTATCTTTAGGCAAAACTCTCAGACACATATGGGGGGGGGGGTGGGGGGGGGGGGAGAACAACAATAATAACAACAACACTTCAAACATAAAAACTGCCAAATATTCTTAGGCAACACGCTAACACCCTCTTACTTGAACTCGTAAAGCTAATTGAAGTTAACTGATTAAAACGGAATACTAAAAAAATTTTTTTTAAATAAAACTAATTAATAACTGTCAAAAAAGCTTGAAACCTGATTAGAATTTTTCATTTCTTCCTTAAATATATATACATATATTCTACTTAAGAATGAGCTGATAATAACTGCCTAGCACATGCGCGAATGGTATCAATGTTGAAAGAAGATATAGTATCACCAACCTCTGATTGACCTTGCCCGTGACAGACAATCTATTCTATACACACTAAACCGCAACACTTCCCGGAGCACACACAACAATCTTTAATGACAATGTCAATATAATGTCACTTAACTGTCAAGATGTTACACGGCCCTAACACGTTCATCGGATTGTGTATGTACGTGTTTTTGACAGCCAGCTCGGCAAACGGTGTATGTACAACAACCCTGGACGCCCCATTGTATCTGTGTGTGCTGCTGTCCCATAGTGTTCTAAATTTTTAGATAGTATTTTTTAAACGATTGTCACCAGTCTCCCTTAATTTGTTAAAAACACAAGCTGTCAGGAACCTAATTGTCTAGGGTTCTATTCCATTGGCTCTGCTATAGGCTAATGACAGGAAAACACCGTAAAACATACTCAAGCCAAACACTGGTTGCAACACACACACAATCTTTATTATCAAAGATACAAACAAAGTGGTGGTACACCTCAGGAGGAGTAGCGCTCCTTATTCTGAAACCAGACCGCGTCTAACTTTAAATCGCTTAGAGGCGCCTTTACACGTTCATGAAAGAAGCTCTGAGCCGTTCCACTCTCCCGTACAGTGCCAGCTCAACCCGCTGTCTCCCGATGCCAAAGACGCTATGGCATACGCAACGTGTAGGCCTAAGTGCGTCGACAGTGTTAACGCCGCTTCTAGTTACAACTACTGACATAGTCTAGCTACTACCTTACATGAGATATTAACTGAGATCTAACTAGACCATCTGCTCTTTGCTCTGTAACGAATTAAATACATTTAATGACACTACAAACAGAACGCGTTACAGCTAATAACTACACTGGTACATTTCTACAATTCAAAACAAACCGTCCCTAAATCTAGCACAATCTCCACTCTCGTCCCACGTCCAGTTACATAGCAGTCCCCCACGCAAGCGTCCAGCGTCCGGTCCAAAATGTGCAGTCTACTCTGCACACCCGTTTTGTTCTGCGCTTCCGAGTACACGTGATGGTCAAAACCTTCGTGAAGTCTGTTGGTCAATGACCAAACTACGCTTCGCTCATGCGTTCATGCTCGTTTCTACGTGTGTATACACGTACTGAGTTGCACTAAGGGTCGTAGGGTATGATAACGAGACTCATCATCATCATACTGAACGGTTCCATAACAGGGCGAACTCTGACACTAGACATGCTCTCAACATTTTTTGGATCCGTCAGATTACTTCCCGGTAAAACCTATAATCTTTTCCCGATAGACGTATGCTCCTTCTGTACGTCCATTCCTTACTCTGGTGGTCTTAGGGCACTTGAGTTCTTTTAGGACAGAAGGTCCAACCCTATCATCCTTACTGAGGTTCTTGTACGCCTTACCTAACTGGTAACTTTTGAGTTCAATGGTGAGTATTTCGACCAGATCAGTGGGGTCGCGATAGGCATCAAGATGGGTCCCAGTTACGCGTGCCTCTTTATGGGCTACCGGAATATGAGGTCAGTTTATCATACCCAGGCAAGTTTCCAGAGGTGTATATGAGATACATGGATGATGGTGTTGGTATAACCGAAATGTCCAAGGTTGAGCTTGACCAATTCATCATTTACGCCAACAACTTCAATCCGGCCTAGCCACACATCACTTCCTGTTGGGACTACTGAATGCTGCCGCCCCGCGTGCAAAACATGTCCTTTCGTTATCCAGACCTCTTCAGTCAGTTTCCCTAATGGTTCTTTTCAAATAAGGAAAACTTTCACTTGTGAATCCTGCAACGTTATTTATGCCATGATCTGCAAAAGATGCAACAAGGGATACATTGGGAAACTGGCAGAAAGATAGCTGATCGTTTTCGAGAACACCTCTACGATAGTGACAAGACCCTTGAACCAATCCCTCTCCATTTTAACACCTCTGACCACAGAGACAAAGACGATATATCTGTCACAGCTGAAAAGTCATGCTCTGGCGGTCATATCACGCGCCTCACTTTGGAAAATATCCTCATTCACATCCTATGTGTTTTTAGTCCAGATGTCATCAATATCCAACATATCTTTATCTAAACAGTTTTACTATTGTCACATTTTGAATTGTAATTCTTGTCTTTCCTTTTATTTCATATTATTACTTTATGCTGTCTCTTGTCTGTTTCTTTGAGAGAGTTAGTGATATCAGTCAAAGTTATCGGGCTGTGTTTAGGCTTCACCTTCCGTGTTGGTAAGACGTTTAGCGTGCCAGAGGAACCGGTTTGGTTGGTATCTGTCTTTCGTTTCTGCGGTAAACAATGTAGCTTATTATTTATAGTTTTTAAAAGGGTAGAAAATTATAGGGAAGAGAAAAAAGAGGTAAGAAAGAACAAATACATTATGCCCGCTTTACAAAAGTCGATTAAAATGAACAAAGGACTTTGTGACGATTAGCTTTTATCAACACATAAAGAACAGCACAACACACATACATAAGTATGTTAAAACTATGAAATGACTCCTAAGGACTGTAATGTACTAAATAAATTATACCCACCTGTGTCTCCGGCGAAAAACTTCGTTCAAGAGTATGAACAAGACATGTACAAACCTATATAACCACTGCGCGAACAGGACGCGAAAACTGGGTCGGTATACCTGGGTAATGGGAGGAGTTGATTCTAACAGACACAACAGTATACAATGAGTGTCCAAAAGGGGGGAGGGGTAGGGGGTAAGGGTTAGCCAATATGGCGTAACCAGGTTTCGGTCGTGTGTATGACACTAGTACATCCGCATGAGATACAAGTGGTGCCCGTACTAGCGTACAAATACCAACCAACAGAGAGGCAAACAAGCATGCAGATAGATAGATAGATAGATAGATAGATAGATAGATAGATAGATAGATAGATAGATAGATAGATAGATAGATAGATAGATAGATAGATAGATAGATAGATAGATAGATAGATAGATAGATAGATAGATAGATAGATAGATAGATAGATAGATAGATAGATAGATAGATAGATAGATAGATAGATAGATAGATAGATAGATAGATAGATAGATAGATAGATAGATAGATAGATAGATAGATAGATAGATAGATAGAAAGATAGATAGATAGATAGATAGATAGATAGATAGATAGATAGATAGATAGATAGATAGATAGATAGATAGATAGATAGATAGATAGATAGATAGATAAATATATAGATAGATAGATAGATAGATAGATAGATAGATAGATAGATAGATAGATAGATAGATAGATAGATAGATAGATAGATAGATAGATAGATAGATAGATAGATAGATAGATAGATAGATAGATAGATAGATAGATAGATAGATAGATAGATAGATAGATAGATAGATAGATAGATAGATAGATAGATAGATAGATAGATAGATAGATAGATAGATAGATAGTGAATGGGTAAATAGATGAGCGGGTCGTGGGATAGATTGGTCGACAGATAAATAGTTGGAATGATAGATGGCTATACTGGTGGATGGAAGGAATGTTAGGTAGATGAATATATAGGCCTATATGTGTGCCAATATATGAAATCAGGAGAAAAAGGGTCTCATACCAAGATGCTTCTCTCTTACTATGCTATCAAATAGAGACAGTAAGGATGTTTGTTGTACAAAGTAATCAGTCGAGCCGAAGCGTAAACGTGATAACAACTAGAATTTTAAAGGAGCGATGGAAGGATAGATGGGGAAAATGGCACAAGTGGATGGTGGAATGAATGAATGAGTGGGTCGTTTGATAGATGGGTCGGTAGATGAATTGATGGAATGATGGATGACTATATTCGCGGAAGAATGAAATAGTAAATGGATTTATGGATCAGCCTATGTGTAGGCTTGATATGAAATGAGGTAAAAACATCGGTATAGTGACAGGGTGCTTCTCTCTTACTATCAGCTATTAAACAGAGACAGTAAGGGTGATTGTTATACAAAGTATCAGTCGAACCCAAACACAGAAGTGGTAATAACCAGAATGAAAGGGAGCGGTGGAAATGGATGATGGGGTGATTGGCTGGTGGGATAAATGGGTGGGTAGATGAATGGGTGGGATAATGGATGGCTATGTTCGTGGATAGATGAAATAGTAGATGGATGGATGGATGGATAGGTCTATATGTATGCTAACATATTAAATCAGGTATAAACAAGGGTCTCATGATGCGATGCTTCTCTCTTACTGTCTGTCATCTAGCAAGTAAAGACAGTTAGGATGATTATTATACAAAGTATCAGTCGAGCCTAAGCGCAAAAACATCCTGTAGCCTAAGATACCTGTCGTGTAGGTAGCAGAAACTAGTGATGCATTGTACCGCGGATGTGTGTGCAAAAGAAAGAGCCTTGAATGTGTTGCTTATGGGAGTGGACAACCAAAAAACAGCGATGAATGGATGGACAGTGTCACATACCGCTCGTGTCGCGTGCCTGATTTAAGGATTTCTCCTTAAGAACTAACAGCACTCTGA